TTTTGAAGCTACATAGAGCACATTTAGTAGGAATGAAGTGATATTGAAACTTAATCAAAACCGAAATTAGTAAAACATAATAAAGATACCTTTCGACAGTATAACAGTACGCTATTTCCATTTTAAAAATGTAGATGTTACTACCCCCACCTTGGGGTGTATTTGGAGCTAAGGTTTTATAAACAATATGATGTTTTTTTTAATAATTGGCCTGTTTTGGGATTATTCATAATTATGAACAGTAATCGAGATAACTAGTTTTGAAATATTTCAACCAGAATGTACAAAACCTTAATAAATATGAACAGTAATGGAGATAACTACTTTTGAAATATTTCAACCACAACGTACAAAACCTTCCTCCATTTTAGTTATTGTGTCTATATCACAGAGCAATCGATGCCAATGTACAAGGTCTGTCGCAAAGTTATATACAGGGTGTTTCAGTTTATTGTTGCATAACTTTAAGATTCGATAGAACCTTTAAAATTAATGCATAAAGTCTATATAAACACGGGTCGAAAAATGCGTGGCTTCCGAAATACATATAAATTTACTTTTTAAAATAGTTTTTTTAAAATATTTCGAACAATATTTGATGTATAACAGAGAAAATTGGTATCAAGAGTTTTTTGGTACGACAAAACGAACCATGGGCATAGTTTTACTGTACCCGCCAGAGGGCGCTCTCTACTATACCTGTAGTGTATTAAAATGACCGAAAATTTTTTCTTTGTGCAATTTTTTGCTTTTTGCATAAAACTGATTCTTCGCACTTTTCTGCATAAAAAAGCTCTCCTGTGAGTTTTCGTTATAGTTAGCCGTTTTTGAGATATTTCGATTTTTAAGGTTCGATGCATTTTTAATTATTTATGGGAAAATAATATTTTTTTTTACATTTTCGATTGGGCATTACAAGTAATTAAGATGATCGTTTAGATTGTGTTTTTAAACACAGCAATAATTCCTAACTCCAAATAAACACAAAAAACAGAATATTAATTTGTTTAATTTTTCAATATTATTTTTAACAAATTAAATTAATTATTTACAGCTAAAATGCTATTGGATAGTTAGGACAAACATACAAAATCTAAAGTACAGGGTGGGGCAAAAGTCACGAAGGGATTTGAAAAATTAATAACTTTTTTAAATTTATTTTGTTTTCATTTTTTTTTTCAGGACCGTGTAAAATAAATCCTGGAGATTAATTATGGAGCGTTACAACCTCAATCAACGAACCAAACTTATAGAATTTTATTTTGAATATCACCATTCAATAATTCAAACTCAACGAGCATATCGTCGTCATTTCAATTTGCGGAATTCGCCCTCTGAATCAATGATTCGACGCTTAGTGGCACGATTTCAGCAACAAGGCACAGTTATGGATCTCCCACGAAGCGGAAGGCCACATTCCGCAAGAAATGAAGGGAACATTCAACGCGTTCAGGAGAGTGTTCAGGAGAATCCGGAAACCTCAACCCGAAGACGTTCTGCTGAGCTGCAGATGTCTCAAAGGTCTTTACGCAGAATATTAAGAGGAAATTTACATCTGTTTCCATATAAAGTGCAGCTAGTGCAAGAACTAAAACCAGCAGATTTTCAAGAACGACTAACTTATGCAGTTCGCTTGCAAAGAATGGCTCGAGAAGATAATGAATTTATTCATTCTCTGATCATGAGCGATGAAGCCCATTTTCATTTGAATGGCTTCGTAAATAAGCAGAACTGCAGAATATGGGGTACCGAGAACCCAAGGGTGGTTCATCAAAGGCAATTACATCCGCTTAAATGTACAGTATGGTGCGCAGTTACGTCTCAACGAATTATTGGACCATTCTTCTTCGAAGACCACGATGGGAATGCTGTATCTGTAGATGGCGACCGATATCGTGATATGATTCAAAATTTCTTAAGACCAGCTCTTGCTGACAATCAAACGATGACTTTCCAACAAGATGGAGCCACTGCGCATACTGCTCGAGCCACTATGCACCTTCTAAGGCAGATTTTTGGCGAACGTTTAATTTCGAGAAATTCAGGATTCAATTGGCCCGCCCGCTCGCCGGACTTAACAGCCCCTGATTATTTCCTTTGGGGATATCTGAAAGGAAAAGTGTATATTAATAAACCCACAACCCTGCAGCAACTAAAAGATAATATTCGAGCAGAAGTAAGTGCTTTGGGGCCAGATATTCTGACTCGGGTAATGGAAAATGCTCTTGCAAGAGCTGCACTTTGCGAGGCTGAAAATGGCGGTCATTTGCGTGATGTAATCTTTCACACTTAAATTGTAAACAAACTCCAAACATTGCATTTTAGTTTTGTGTTAGGGAAAAAAATTAAAATTAAAATTTAAAAAAGTTATTAATTTTTCAAATCCCTTCGCGACTTTTGCCCCACCCTGTAGTTGCTCGAAATGTGAACCCAATTGTTCAATACACAATTCACATCTACGAATGATCGAACGTGGTATAGCATTATTCAAATAAGGGCCTATTTCATCACATGCATTCCTGTTTCTGTCTATTAGCATATCTCTTATGGTTACGGGAGTCTGGTACACTTTTTCTTTTAGAAATCCCCACACAAAGAAATCTATAATGGATTTAGGTCAGGGGATCGTGGAGGCCAGGCGACTGGTCCTCCACGGCCGATCCATCTTTCTGGATAATTTTCGTCCAGCCAGTTTCTAACAATTCTCGAATAATGAGCTGAACAACCATCAAGCTGGAACCAGGCCAATCTTCTTAAATCTAACATAACATCATCCCACATACTTGCATGTTCAGCCTTTAAAAAGTCCAAGAAGGTCGCAGCTTTTAACCTTGCAGGCAAAAGGTAGGGTCCAAATAGTCGATTACGGTGGATACCAATCCACACGTTCATACTAAATTCATGCTGAAAATTTCTTTCCCGAACTACATGCGGATTTTCATGCGACCAAATATGTTGATTATGAAAATTTACCACTCCACGTCTAGTGAAGCATGACTCATCGGTGCATAAAACGTTACTTAAAAACTCCCTATTATTATCAGTTCTATCAAGAATCCACTGACAAAATGTGATTCTTCGTTCTCCGTCCCCTGGCTGTAGTCCTTGCACAGGTTGCAAATGGTAAGGACGTCTATGGTCATTTCTAAGAACATGGTGAACATGGCTTGCTGAAATTCCCAAGGCACCAGAAACTCTCCTAACACTTGTGGTCGGATCTCTATCAAACTCACGCAGAATCATACGGGTAAATCTGCGCTTACGAATATTTATGTTTTGATCCCTTTGAAGATTTCCAAAACCATTTTCAATTATTTGGCGATGCACTCTTACAAATACTGAGCGAGTTGAATGTCGTCTGTTTGGAAATCTTCGTGTGTATTCCTGGCTGCTTCTGCTGCGTTTCCATTTACAAAACCATACACAAAATTAATATCCGCTAACTCTTGATTGGAGAATAAAAATGGCATTTGTATAAAACTTACAAAAAATAACAGGTGAAAGAAACTAAATTTCGTGCATTCACAATTGCAAAAAAACGTTTCAGGTTTCAACAGACAACAAAGCTAACTGTCAACTAATTGACGTTTAACCTTATTCTGTTTTCAATTTCAAAAATATTTGCAGGCACAGCCTACTTCTAAAAATTATCGAGATACTGACTTTTTAACGTTATTTTTTTCATGAATAATTAAAAATGCATCGAACCTTAAAAATCGAAATATCTCAAGAACGGCTAACTATAACGAAAATTCACAAGAGAGCTTTTTTATGTTGAAAAGTGCGAAGAATCAGTTTTTTTGTTCAAAAAGCAAAAAATTGCACTAAGAAAAAATTTTCGGTCATTTTAATACACTACAGGTACAGAAGAGAGCGCCCTCTAGCGGCTACAGTAAAACTATGTCCATGGTTCGTTTTGTCGTACCAAAAACCCTTGTATACCAATTTTCACTGTTATACTTCAAATATTGTTCAAAATATTTAAAAAAAACTATTTTAGAAAGTAAATTTAAACAGACTGTATTTCGGAAGCCACGCATTTTTCGACCCATGTTTATATAGACTTTATGCATTAATTTTAAAAGTTCTATCGAATCTTAAAGTTATGCAACAATAAACTGAAACACCCTGTATATCTACGAAAAGCGCTATCTATTATCGGCGCTGTATAGGTAGGTACATCTTTCATTGATGCCCTGTCAAAATTTTTTGACAAAACATGGCATTTTAACGTGATTTTAAACATCAACCACTCCCCATATTCTCCTGATATGGCACCGTGTGGCTATTTTCTGTTCGGTAAACTACATTTGGCCATGAAGGAACAGCAGTATGCCATCTAAAAGGCGACGACGACCACTTTGAAGCACATCCCGGTCAGTGAGCTAAAATGATCACTAGAAAATCTTTTGTTCCATTCAAATCGCTGTATTAACTCTGAAGGAGACTATTTTGAATAGAATAAGTTCGATTTTTCGCAACAAAAATTGTTTTCCTTTGTCCTGTTTCTTTTGCGACAGAGCTTGTACAAACAATAAAATGTGCCGTGTACAGATTGAGCCCTAAACACGAATGCAAGGAAAAGCCGCGTCTTCCGTCCGTCAGTGCGTCACGGCTGAACATGTACGCGTAAGAAAACGCTATAACTTCATCAAATTTTCAAGATACCGGAATGATTTTGACAAAAATATCAGTTATATATAACTACTGGTTATATACAGCTGTATCTCATAGCATTTTTGACTATAGGAAACTTCCCAATTGTTTGACGGCGCTTTTGACATAAAAGGGAAACGCATGACTTCTCCAGTGTTTTATTTTGAAACTGTAATTGTACTATTCGATCATTAAAAACTATGTCGTTGATATCTGTCAGCTTGTGCGATACTCTCTATGTTTTAGAACTCCGAAACAACCACTCGGATTTTTTACGGACTACCTTGCTACGATTCTACGTACGAAAAAATCGCATTGGAAATTCTTTATGAAGGCAAACCTACCTGATCCATTTTGTGCTTCATCCTTGCTGTTTTGCCTCAGTTTAGAGTGCAGCTCACCGCTTTTAGGCTTTGCTGATTTTGGCCTCGGTAATACAACATTATTTTTTAACTCCTCGTTGGAATCATGTGAAGCCTTCTCTTCTAACTTTTTATCAGAACCATCTTCTCTCTCGGTTTGTGATTCCAAAGACGCATCGCTACTCTTAATCTCTAGATTTTCCTCGAATTTTGTTTCCTCGAGGTCTTGTTTCGTTGTATCAATGACTGCTTCTGGCTCGTGCAGGTTAGCATCTATGATTTTCGCAGGTACCTTTTCACTCTTTGATGTAGCTACTCCGCCCTCTTTCTTTCCATCGTTTATCTTGTTTTTCTGCTTATTTTTATCCTTGCCTAGGTCTCTTGGAGTACCAGAGACTTTTTTGCTCCTTGATGTGTCACTTGACTTCCTGTTAACTTCAACATGCTTTTCTTTATCGACGCTGGTTTTTGAGCTACTTTTCAGATTAGTGGACACTTTTGTCTTGGACGTCCTATCGTTAGTGGAACCCTTTACTGACTTTAGTTTTGACACATATTCTGAAGAATCAATCTTCTCATCTAATGCTTTACCAATGGTTTGTAATAAGAGGTTTGTATTTATTGGTTCCAAGCCAGCTACTATTTTGCTTGCTCGTACAGGTAGATCTGTTTTCGTCACTGTCTCTGCAAGAGTAAGTGATTTATCATAAGTATGAGAATTAATTCACAGAAATGGGGATACAGTTGTTTGCTATCCCGTCTAAATGATTATTTTTTAGAAGCTTAAAGAAACTTTGTTAATCTGATTTTTGAACTGCCTGAGGTACGTAGAGCTGAGAAAAGCCTCCTCATGTAGATTCTTCCACAATATCGACACTCTCAGGACAAAGGAGAGGTCATATTGGCCATTTCTGGATTTACAAAGTTCAAAACGGTTAGGATGGGAGGCCGAAGTCAGGCAAGTCTATCTAGTAGGCACATTGTTTATAAGTGGTAACTTTTATGCATAATTTGTGTTTTTCTTTTTGAGCAAAGAATTTCTGCAACATGATTTCCTACATTTGACTTTGTTTTATTTATCGCCGTATAATAAAAACTGTATAAAAAAATCTGTCTAAAAATCAGTTAGTTATTATCGATTCACCAATCATCTGAAATATAGACCACAACGCAGTATAGAGAGGTAGGTACTACTCATATTATATTAAAGATGTGTTAATTATATATAAGTACTTCGATGTATGAGTATTTTCAAAGATACTTACTGACAGCCTCGATTAATTTATTTAGAAATGCAATTTTTGCATCCTTGTCGGTCACATTTTCAGATTTTAGCTCATTTTCCGTAAATAATCCTTTTAAAAAGTGGGTTTCTTTGATTACTGCCTTGATAACATCGTGTAAAAACCTGAACGGCGGCTTTCTCAGCAACTTTTCCGTCAATGGTGGCTTTTTGACATACTTTCCTAATAATTTTTGAGTTTTTTTGATAACCTCTGGGGCAATATCTTCCATTTTTTGGCTTTTACCAGGATTATCTCTTTGGAAATCACATTTTCGATATTGATGTTGTCATTCTTAATGTGGTTACCATAGCAACGATACGTCCACGTGACACCTTCTTTGACGCTCATGCGCTGTCAGACAAGTCGCGCCTCCATGCAACATTGTCAGATTTACAAGTTTTTCTTTTTATGTAGGATATTTCAGCATCATAATAATAATAACATTATCGTTGGCTGCCAAACTGTTGTTGGACAGTCATTTCCTCTAAATCGCTTCAACAGGAGTGACAGCTTTTGATATCTGCCGTTTTTAGTTAGATTAGTCTGACTAACCGAGAAAAGGTTACGTAGTGAAATGGTATTATATTTAATCGAATGCTAGAAAGTTATCTATGATGTTGCATTAGTTATCTCCATCTTTCACTCGCGCGAGAAAAATATAAAAATGTAGTATTTTTGGCCATTGGACATTTTAGGTACAGAAGAAATTCAATCCAGAGCCGTCAACTCGACAAAAAGCGCTATACCGGGCGCGATACCCGAGTCGTTAATTATTATTCTGTTTGGGTAAGCAAGCATCATAGAGATAAGCGTAGTGCGTAATGAGCTTATAGATAAGGAGATTTTGGCCAGCGGCTGTGAGGGTCCTTTTGTGTGGTTATTAACGATGGCTTTCCAGAAGAGTAGAGTGTTTGTGAGTACTGCATACAGTCAACATTCAGTTTTGTATTTTATTAGTATCAAACATAATCAGAAGGCACAAAACAATAAAGAAAGTTTAGTGTGTTGTAAAAAGGTCAAAGCTGAAATGGTCATATACACTGAAAGAAGTGCTCTTAGATCAAACCTATCTATACTAAGTTGAAAGTCGCGACTCTGATACGTTTTTTATTCCAGATTCCACTGAACTGAGATTTATTCCTTAATTTTAAGAATTCTATTTGAAACAATGATATTATTTCATTTCAAAAGTATCTGTGATCTCGAATCAATGTTAAAATTCCAAGAGAATATGTGCTCTTGAAATCCACGTCAAAGTAGGACAATTATCAAGCATTATAAAGACAATACAATACTTTGGAAACGTGAAAACAGCGACATACAGCCTTTCAAACTAAGAATTCGTCCAGTACATTTTAGAATATAATTCGGAAGAAATATATCCAAATAAGTGAGAACCACGATTAGTCAAGACACACTATCTGTTCATACAAATCTATCAAACGAAGCGGAAATAGCGGCTGATGTTAATTTTGAAACAATCCTGAAACAATTCAGTAAGCTAAAGGTTCCTCGATTTCAATTTGTGAGAACGCGAAAACACATCCCAGAGAACGGTTGCCGTTACACACCGGTTGATAGTTATGTACTTTTCGACTAGTATTTTAGCGGTCAATCCGCATTACTATTTATAAACCATGTGTTGATACTGTTGATAAAATTCAGAAGAAGTTTTTAAAGTTTCTGAGTTTCAAAACTGATGGAATATACTCTGCAAGAAGTTCCGCCCAGATATTATGTAAAAACCTATAAAACGTCAAAAAAAACCTATAAGATGTCATCTTGCAGACCAGGGTGAAAACAATCATTCCACGTTTGCTCACTAGGATCGTTGCAAGCGTCCATCTACGGAGGAATGGCTTAACTACACGTATACACGCATAGTTGGTTGCATATGTTTTGTGAAGCCGGGTGGTCTATAGTTTTCATCTCTGAAAAGAAAGTTGGTTATTTGGTTGAATAGGAAGATCGCATCTGGATGATTGTGTGTATTGGTCTGCATGTGTATAAAATCAGTGATATTTGCTGTGTGAGAAAATCATTACTGAATATGCTGCCAATGAAGTATATCTATTAGCTGTGCCCAATGAAATTCATGCGTGGATACCATATTTTAGAGTAAAATTGACAGATGAAAATGTCAAGATGGCCGCTGGGCGATATTTTGGCAAAAAAATTATATGAAAACGGGGAAAGCATATTGTGAGGCCTCTATTCATCGAACAAACTTTAACCGGGGAACTGTATTTGAATATGCTGGAAATACTATTGACCTTCATATCACCAAAATCGTAGAAGCGAATCCTAATGAATTCGACACTGATATTGTAGTCCAGCAAGATGGTGCTCCACCACCCTACTACAGACAAGTTAAGAATTATTTAGATAACAATTTCGTCGGTCGTTGGATTGGTCGTGGAGGTGTTGTGGAATGGCCAGCTCGCTCGCCAGATTTGACAACTTTAGACTTTTTTATGGGGCTATGTGAAGCAAAAGGTGTACGAAACTGAACCTGCTTCAATATTGGATATACGTCTGAGAATAATAAATATTTGTAGAAATATCGATGTTTCTATATTTGAAAATGATCGACGCGTAATTACGGACCGACTGTTATTGTGTCAAGAAGTTCAAGGCAACCATTTCCAGCGCCTTCTAAACTGAACTCAACGTATTTATTCGAATTATCAAGTTAAATGCCAATGTATTCAGGTAATTATTAAATTTACCACCATTTTGTAGTAGGTAAAGGCTATTGACTTTATATTCTAGGGTTATAAAGAACTCGTCAGGAGCTTTAAAATCTTGACATTTTCATCTGTCAATTTTACTCTAAAATATGGTATCCACGCATCAATTTCATTACCTTAAGTTTTAATTTTTTGAATTGATCAGTTCAAATCAATGGGGCGGAGAACATTAAAGAAAAGCACTATATATATATATACTAAGTGACATATAAATCCGAACACCCAGTTTAAATGGTTTTATTTTAATAAAATTTTGTATAAGTACTTAATGAATCATAATAAGTAAATGATAAAAATTTCAAAATGATTGCACTGCTTTAAAGCCCTTTGACCTTTAATAATGTGTGGATGCACCCTGATGTGCTACGCATTCTCTAACGTGCCTAGGCATGCTTCTGATCAGGTGGTCAATGTCCTCCTGTGGTATCTCATTCCAGGCAACCACCAACTCCTCTCGAAGTGCTTCTAGAGTCTGGAGAGTCGGGAGATCTTGGTGGCCATGGTAACAATGTGACATCATTATGTTGAAAGAAGTCTATTGTGACTCTTGCAACATGTGGTCGGGCATTATCTTGTTGGAAAGTTGCATCTGCCAGGGTGTCAAGATAGGGTAAAAGATGGGGTTCTAGAACTTCGTGGATATAACGCTGCGCGTTCATGTTACCTCTGATGAAGATTAAAGGTGACTTGGAACCATAAGCTATAGCACCCCAAACCATAACTCCAACAGTGTGATGAACATGTCTTTCAACAAAAAACTGTGGATTCCTCCTTTCACCACGTCGCCTTCTAACCCTGGCACGACCATCGTGCATGCCTAAACAAAATCGAGACTCGTCACTAAAGACAATACTGTGCCATTCCTGATCCCAGAGTGACCTTTGTCTGCACCACTCAAGGCGATTACGTCGGTGTTCTCGAGTTAAAGGGAGGACCCAGTGTGGCCGGTATGAAAACAAGCCAAAACTTCTCATTCGTCGGTAAACACTTCGCATGCCAATAGGTCTTCCGTGTTCTGCAAACCATCCATTTGCAATGGACCTGGTAGTGGAGAAACGGTCCCTTAAGGCCAATAATCTGAGGCGGCGATCTTCACGGTCTGTTGTTCTACGGCGGCGTCCAGTGCCCCTTGCTCTTTGCGTACGGCCTTCTCGAAGCCATGCCTGACAATACCTAACCACAGTTAGTACATTTCTTTGCACTCTAACTGCAATTGCCCGAAAAGAAAGTCCAGCTTCCCGAAGTCCCACTATACGGCCCCTATCAAACTCACTAAGTTGACGAAATCGTACAGGTCTCCGTACTCTAGGGATCGTAACCGATCGTAAAGGATGTCAAGAACCAAAATCCGCCAACGTTGATTCTTTACTGCGGCTGAAATATTCATTTTTAGAGCGTTAGTGAATTAAAAAAAGCAGTATAAAAACCGGAATGTCCAACTGATAAGGCTGAACATTTTTTCACTTGTTATTTACAGTCAGATAAATACGTTCACCAACTTTTATTAAAATAAAACCATTAAAACTGGGTGTTCGGATTTATATGTCACTTAGTATATGTATATATATATTGTTCACATGTGCATACCTCTAGGCTAACTTTTATTTTTATAAATTGCTCTGTTAAGCTTTTGGCAATAAACGCTTATTATCACTATTATTATTATTATATAGAAATTCCAGGCAATGTAAGCTCACCCCTGAATACAAGTTGTGCTACATATTTTGCGAGGAGTAGACGGCAACACTGCCTGCAAGATAGACAGCCTCCATTTTTGTTGTTCCCGTGATGCAAAGGTTGTCGACATTCCAGGACGTAAGTTTTGTTCCAGTTTCTAAGTTCCATTTGGACTATCTTTTTACTAGATAGATGAAAGTAGATATTCTTATATTTTCCCCCAAATGTTACACACATAACACTGGGCGCATTTATGCTGGGGTCATAATAGTTCATATATGCATAACATTATAGGGAAATGACCTATGATCATTTCTGAATATAGACTTTCTACTTTACAAGCTTGTACTGAGAGTCATCAAATCTCATTATTATCTTATGTTTGGCCTATAATTTGTTTTGTTGTGGCTTGTGTGAGTTTTGATTCATCCTAACCCGTTTTTTCTCGACTGGCCCAATTAAACCTCAATTTTACAAAAAAAAATGCAAAGTTCATCGTTAAAAAGATTTGTGAAAAGAAAACTAACTAATAACCAACTGTTGATTATTGTAGACTATGGATGAACCTGTCGTTGTGAAAAAGGAATTGATAAAAACAGAAGCAGAGATATCTGAAAGGCTAGAAGAACAACATGGGGGTCAAGAAACTGGTGTCCCACAAGAACAAGTTCAACAGGAAGAAGTTGTTGTATTACAAAACCTACAGTTTGCTGAGGAAGAAACACCAGTGATTTTAAACGAGTTTACTGCCTCTGATTCTGATGGAAATTTAGAGATTGCTACTTTGGAGGAGGAAGGCGATGAAGTAGTCCATGCATATATTATAGAGTAAGGTTCCAAAACTTGAGTAATCTGCTAAAACACTTATGATATGCAAAATATAATCACAGAGATTAAGAAGTGGTATATGGTGTGAAAAAGTTATTTCAAATTCTCCATATATATAATGAGTGACAAAAAAGGTAAACACCTAGGATGTACGTTTATTATGCTGGGTCCACACCAAAACAGCAACTCTTCCTTTCTCAACAAATCGGCAACAATTCGTTTCTGTTTCTGGCAACTTTTGGCGCTCCCGTCGCGAGTCGGTAAAGATCAAAAGGTTTCTGTTTGGTTTTCATTTCAGGCAAGATTGTCGGTTCAATGTGTACTTCGTTGTGAACCAAATATAAAACAGAAACTAGTATCAAATCGAAGGATCTGTGTAGGATGTTTAAAAATACACATTTGAATGTAGTTACATGTAGGAGTGCTTACTGGCTAGTAGAGAAACAGAGATTACACATAAACTTATAACTAAAAAATAATGATAAAGAAAAACTATAAAAATTAACAAACAAATAAAATGAGATAAGGATGATTACTTAAATTTAAAATCAGTCTTAATTTGTCTCAGAGTAGTCAAAACTAGATCCACATCACAATTTTGTATATAGCTATTACACTCGTACTTCATTCTATTGATAGAAGAACAACTTACAGGTGAACAGCGAAAGAGTTTGTGGCCTCTTATTCTCAAGTTGATTCTTCGAACAGCAAAGAACATATTATTTATTAGGGAACACTTCTTATATTTTAAATTATTAATTATGTAGTAAATGAACAAGATATCATTCAAAACATGCCTAACGCTCAACCGCACAATTTTAAATTCTGTTAGCATACTATTATAAGAGATCACTTATGGATAAGCATTGTGTCCTTAATTACAGATATCTTAAAAATCTTTTTTGTACCCTTTTGATCATATCAACATTCACCATTGTTTTGGGTGCCCAGACAACAGAGACATACTCCAAAACAGGTTGGACCAGTGAGTTGTACAAAATTATTATAGATGTAGTTTCCTTAAAGTGCTCTGTATTCCTTATCACATAACCCAGGATCCTATATGCTTTGTTTACAATAGTTTCATAATGCTGATTAAATTTAAGGTTAGTCTGAAAGCAGACACCAAGATCCTTACATTCACTTTTCCTACTTAGTAATAAGTTATCAATTTTGTAATTAAAATCTATAAATTGTGCTTTTCGTGTAAAAGTTATACTATGACATTTGGCAATATTCAATGACATTTTATTCTCCTTGAACCACTGTGACACTCAACTTAAATCAGTTTGCATCTCAATACATACAATCTTGAAGGCAAGTTATATGCTTGTATATTTTAAAATCATCAGCAAATATGTGATATTTGGCATATTTTACACAGTTTGGCAAATCATTCAGAAAAATTATGAATAATAGAGGCCCAAGGGGCATCCCAAATGTTTTTATGTTCATCTTTGATAAATGCTTACCAACTTTAATCTGCTGCGGCCTTAAGATTTACCCAAGTTGTTCACTAACAGGCCATGATCAACCCGATCAAAGGCTTTCGCACAATCCGTCAAAACAACATCCAACTGTTCTTTGTTGTCAATTGCCCCAGCAGTTGCCTCAGTCAAGATACTGAGGTTGGTATCAGTTGAGACATTGGGCAGAAAACCATGCTGCTGCAGAGAGAACCTATGCATAAGAGAGCTCAAAATATTTTCGCAAGAGAGTTTAAAATGCTAATATGCCTGTAGTTGTCAACCGGAGAATTATTGCCTGTTTTGAGGACTGGAGTAACCAAAGCATATTTAAGAGTGTCTGGAAATGTGTTTGTTTTAAGTCAAAGATTAAAAATAGTTTTATATATATGTATGAGGGAATATTATCATTGCCAGTGGCCTTTTTTGCTTTTAACTTCTTAATTGCTGCCTGTATCTGCATTTCTGAGATAGGAGAGAATGAGAAGTTGGAACACAGAGCTAAAATACAGAGCAAATGTACAAGCTACTTCCTGGGCACTGTCAATAGTACATCCTGTATAGCATACCTCAGCAGGGATACCAGGTCCAGAACACCTAGACCTGACAAAGTCCCAAAAGCCATTTGGATCAGTTTTACATTTTTTTCAATTTTTTCATGATAGGCTTGTAGTTCATTTGCACTCTGATATTTGATTGCACTTCTAATCTCATTATATTCATTCTTTAGTTGAAAGCTAGCATTGCCCTTTTTAATTTGTTTGTGAAGGCGTTTCCTTAATTTAATATTTTTATTTAGTTCTTGTGAAAAAAGTATATTGGATAACTTTGGGCATTTGAAGTGCATTTTTTAATTTTCCTTTTAGGTATTGCCATGTCCAAACATTCATAAACCTTTTGGTAGAACATATCTGTGCACTTGTATACATTTGAGGTTGTTTCAAGTTCTGACCAATCAACATCGCTCAATAATCTGTACAGCAAATAGAAATCACCCACACAATCTGTGAATTATAGATATTGATAAGACCGTACTCAAAGCCGGATGGTATTGATCTTCATTATAAATATATATTATATATATATATATATATATTTCATAGTACAAGATCTAATTTTCTTTTCATTATGATGAACACACTATTAAGCTGATCCAAATTATAAAGATTTAGAAAATTATTTAACAACTCACTCTTATCACAGCCTTCATTCATATAGTATGGTAGATTAAAATCCCCTAAACTGACAATATTTACATCCTTATCTAAAATAGGTTCAAAGATATTAAAAAATTGCACATATATATCAATATTAACATTTGGTGAAATATAAACACCACACAATATAAAACAGAAACTAGTATTAAATTCGAAGGCATTGTGTAGGGTGTTTAAAAATAAATATGCAGAATGTCGGGTGAAAAAGTGGAGTGTAGATAATACAAGAAATTTAATTGAATTATATAGGAAGTATCCTACATCTTAGTGTTAAAGCCAAACAATCAACTAAGTTAATGGCATTTCTGAAATTGGTACTTTTTTTATAAATTTCAGGGCTGATCAGCTAATTCTTCAAGGTTTTCACTGGAGATTCTTAAAAAGTTTTCGAAACTAGAACGCATTTCTCCTCGCAATCCAATATCATCTTTACGCAAATCGCACAATAATTTTTCAATACCACGATCATCTTTTTCACGTAAGGATGGTTTCACTCAAAAGCGTTTTTTATTTTCCCGGTCACAACTCTGGAGGAATACATAACCAGCAGACATTATGATAAAATTTTTGCGCTTCTGTCTTTCAGCATAAAAACGCAACATATTTTCACTCTGAAAATCTTTGGTGTGAACTGCACGAAACAAAACAACTGAACATTTTTTTGTCTCTTGGAAATGTGGACATAAGTTTTGTTTTGTTTCCAAAAAGTTGCCCATTTGTTACGTTTCTGTTTTGTTGCTATTGCTCATGGTAGCAGATCTCCACTAATTTTTATCAGAGGCAATATGACAGTCCGACACTATATTCAGGAAGTAGTGGTGCCTCATCTTATTCCATAACTTCAGCAAGACAATGCCAGAGCATCGTTAGCCTTCATGCATCAACATCTCATCAACCGTTTACCTTGGTCACCACGATCGCCTTACTTATCTCCATTTGAACGTGTCGGGGACATGGTAGGGCTCAGGTGCTTGAATTTGTATCACCCTCCACAGACTTTGGCAGCTCTTACTCACGAAGTTGCAGTGGCCTGGAATGAGATGACGAATCAAGCTGAACATATATGCCAAAAATTATTAAATTTGGATAAACATACGTAGGTGTTTACCTTTTTTTGTCACTTAGTATACAATACGATATTTTGAATACCATAAAGTCAGATAAACACAAAAAGTAAATGTGTAATGTTTAACAAGCTAGCAAAAAATTACATTTATGTCAGTTACTGAAATCAGTTTAGCACTGCATGAGGGAAAATGGAGGTGGGGCAGTTTCAAAATATTTCTTGTGGAAATTTCTCAAATCGAATCTGCTTTACCATACTTAATATTTTTCTTTCTAGTTGCATTTCATTGTCTCATCCATTTATACAGAGTTTTTCACTATGATTTCGAAGTTCATATGGATATGGAGAACTACTATACACTTTACCCCATTCGTGGTCCATTTACATCCAAGCAAAACAACGTGCCCAAAAGCGAGGTTGTACAGGTCCGTATTTTTATCAATGGTCTTGGAATAATTAACAAAATAAATGATTATTTTTATAGAAAGAACAATTCTTTATTCGCTGGAAGTACTTGAATCATCGTCCGAATGGATAATATTAATTATTACAGGTTCAATTTGGATATTGATCATATTGTACAGATCCCACATCTTTGTTTCAATTGTCTCGTAAATGTGACGGATGCAATCTTTCCAATGGTGTGCCATCTCTCTGTTGACAGCTTCATAAAATACGTCAGACAGTTTGAATGTTCCAAGGGCGGATTCAGGATTTCGACTATGGGGGCGCAAACGATATTTGGGGCTGGTAATTTTTCTACCTCAGTGGAACTTCTAGAATTTATTCTATTATTGCTCCTTACATCCATTGTGTTCTATCAAAAATCGCAATGCTCAGTTCCTATAGCTATAACTTATAGTTAGTATGCCTCTGTCGCCATGTTGTGTCAGAAAGACATCTACAGGGGGGGAGGGACGTGCGCCCCCCTCTAAACCAGCCACTGAAATGTTCTATTGTTTGAAGCCACACAGTTTTTTATATTTGCCCAAATCATTTCAATGGGATTTAATTCGCAGTGATAAGTGGGTAGCCTTAAAATGGTCTTATTTTGGTTTTTAGCCATTTCGTCAATAAAATATTTGTATTTGTGCTACCTAACTAGCTGGATAAATTCTGCTTTGACCACATTTTCAAATAGCCGACTGTCGTTTATTTTCTGGATCATAACAGTAAATCCACGATTCAGTTCTTTGCTCATTAAGAGGAATTGTTGCAATATGAAACGGTCAAGCGTTTTATGACACCAATTAACCCTGGCTGCTTTCTTCTCTTCAGTCAACAGGTGGGGTATCCAACGAGAAAGTTACTCTTACTCTTAATTCTTCATGTAATTTTTTTTGAATTGAGGTCTTTGAGATCTTCAAGGACGCCTCAATCTCGCGATATGTCACATGTCTATCTTCAATGATGAGTTTGCGCACAGCATCGACGTTTTCCTGGGTGACTGCCGTTTTTGGTGCACCCACCCAAGGCATTCTTGTTGCGATAATTGTCTCTGAAAATTGTAATAAATTATGACGCGAAAATATTCTCGGTTGAGTTCCATTTTTCTAATGACTTGGTGACCCTTAAAAATTAACTGTAGTGAGAACACTGAACGTATTGTTGTGAAACTTTGAATTTAAGTTTACTAAAGAGTGAGGTTGAGATTCAGTACTGACGTTCGATCCGCGCGGCCTACTATGTTTCTATATGCAAAACTTAAAAGACATCCCTCGTATTAGACAAATGCTCAACAAATTAAAATATCTCAATGTAAACAAATTTATTAAATATCATGTAATGATATTGTTTTATAAAGTATCGTAAATAATAGTTCTCCACCATGTCTTACTAAATTAACATCATCAAATGTTTATCATCATTTACATAATACGAGAAATATTGATTGAATATAATAAATTAAATACTGAGATAAAACACCAGAATTCTTAGTAAAAGTAAAATTGAGGAATCACTGATTGAATCTATAATTATTATAGCTTTCACAGGATATGCATCAAATGGCTTGAGAGCAAACACCCTTGTGACACGTCAAAAGTACTCCTCGTAACTCAGTATAAAAATAAAAACAGTTAAGACATTTGATTAAAGAATAATGTGATGTTTGGCCAACTTTCAAATCTGAAAACTGTGGTTTAACTGTTAAGGATATTTTACAGGGTATTCATTTGAAAACTTACCTCCACGGATTTATCGACAACCACTGATTAAAAGAAAAAACGCCGATACACGTCAATAGATTTGTCAAGCGGGAAAACTTTTTAACCAAAAACTTCTTCACCCCCGTCCCCCAGGATCATTCACTTAACATTTTAAATGACAAGGGGTACCGAGTAATGGCTTGTCTGAAAGTCCTTTATTTTGACATTTGATTTAATAAAATCAGTCGATTCATTTTCGAGAAAATTAGAAAAATCTTTATTCATCCTAATTTATTCAAATAGGAAATAAAAACACACGAAAATATCACTTTTTAATTCAATAATGTTGCCCATTAGGATTTGCTAAATCTACAATTCGTTTATAATTTAAAACGGAAACTACCAACATAAACAGCCATTCGGAAGATAAGCCCTGGCAACAACCAAATAACAACCCGAATTTTTTTCCTCAATTTTCCATCAACACAGATATCCTGGGTGAACTGTATTTATTGTTATACCTGTTTAGTTATTTGTTGCTATGGGAAAGATATAATTTAATTATTTGCTTTCATTTGCCTTTGTGACAATCTTGGGATAGTGAAAATTAATATTCTGCCACCCAAGGTGAAGTAGTGTTTGCTTAAAAAGTTGTCCCACTTGACAAATCTTTTGACGTGTCTTGGCTTTTTTTTTTAATTAGTGGTTTTCGATCAATCCGTGGCGGGAGGTTTTCAAATGAACACCTTGTATGGTTATTAATATGCAGCATAAAAGTGCTGCACATCTTTACATTAGCTGAACGCACTCAATGTCTCTAATAATGGAAATGGGGGCGTAGATAAATACACACAATTGTTTGTTGCTATAGAAATGAAGAATATGAGGATTTAGAAGGACATGAAGTTATTTACCAAACTGTGCAAGAAGATGGCACTACTGTCCAATACATCATTGCGGAGGATGATGAAGAAGGAGAGGAGACAGTGTATACAGAGATTGAACAGGAGGATCAAACTGAAGATGATCAACAGATGGAGTATACATATGAGTATGAGCAAGTTGAGGTATGTATATCATTGTGGTATAAAATATCCCTTAATTTTGGCCAGGATAATTGTAAGGATGTTTCAAGGAATCGACAAATTATCATATTTCGTATCTAGTTTCAGCTCATTTTTGCCTTGTGCACTATTTATCACATTACAATGTGTCTAAAATCAATTAAATGCCCCTTTCTTAATTTTGTATTGTTGCATCTATTGAAAATCAGTGGTATATCAAAACCGTTTTCATCAAATATTTCTTAATATTCATTTAATTCTGTACTCACTAACACAACATCCTCGGCGAGGCTATGAAGTATAAAGCCAACCCATATATCATTTTACGATATGACACTTTGAAATATTGGAGTAGCAAAACAATGTTTCCACTTTTTAGGGTAAACACTCTGCTCAAGTGATTTGTTAAATACAGGGTGGCCGATATGTAACTGACTGGTTTGTATCATGAATATTTGTGAAATGAAATAAAATACGTTCATTTCTTTCATCTTAATATTTTATGGAAGCTTAGAAATTATGTATGAAAAATAATATCAGACAAATGTCCTCCTCTAGAAGTCGCGCCAACCTGAGCCCTCTTGTTTCCTTTTCATCACGTTTTGGTAGATTTCGGGAGAAATATTTTCAATCGCTTCCGTAATATTGTTCTTCAGCTGATCTACAGTATTTGGATTGTTGGTATAAACCCTATTTTTCAAAAATCCCCATAAAAAAGTCAAGAGCCGTTAAATCCGGTGACCTTGGTGCCCAGTTGACATCACCAAATCGAGAAATTAAACGTCCCGGAAATATTGTTCGCAAAAGATTCATTGTTCCCCTAGCTGTGTGGCAGGTTGTTCCGTCCTGCCGGAACCACATGTTTTGCAGGTTAAATTATTGGATTTTAGGAGCTAGAAAATTTTGCGCCATATCACGGTGACAGTAAGAGAATAACCTGCAGCGTCTTCAAAGAAGTAAGGTCCAATGACACCTCCATATTAAGCACCGCACCAAACTGTGACTCGACGAGGATGTAGTGGTTGTTGATGGATGACACGAGGGTTCTCTAATGCCCAGATACGACAATTCTGCTTATTAACAAATCCGTTCATATCGAAGTGGGCTCCATCGCTCATTATCAGTTGTGGGTAAAAATCGTTGTTTTGGGTATTAAGCTGCTATATCGCATGATTGTATTGTCGGCGACTTTCATGGTCACTAGGCTGTAGTTCTTTGGTTAACTGAATTTTCTTTGGCCGTAAATGCAAGTCTTTTTTAAAATACTTCATAATAACGTGCGATAAATACCCAGATCTTGAGAACGATGTCTGGTAGACGTCCCAGGGCGCTCCACTACACTTTTATAAACTTTCTCGATATTTTCCGAAGTATGAACAAATCTTTTACTTCACCTGTTTATTCAAATCTCCGCACCAACTGACGACTGGTGATGACACTGGGCACATTATTTCGACCGAAATCTTGTCGTACCTTCCGAATCGTTGCAACAATCGAATCATTATTTAAGTAAAACGTTTTAACAATACGGACGCGTTGTGGGATCGTGTACCGCTTCATGATGAATTGGAGACATGTGCTTTAAACAACTACTATGGCGCACCTACTGAAATGCGAGTATCAAAAATGGCGCGCAATTTATATTGGCCATACATAAACAATAAAGGTTCACATAATGATACAGTACATTTCCTAACAAAGACATTTGACAAAACATCCGGACCTGGCTCTTTTTTACAATTTAGGCATAATAGCTCATTTAACAAGGTAACTTGACTCATATCTAATTTCATAGAAGTATTTGCCTTAGGGATACGAAATATATCGATTTCACTTTTTAAAATCGCAAGAATAATACGAGTATATGGATAATAAGTATACTTGACTCATATCTAATTTCAAAGAATAAATGAAATATTTCTTACTAGATTTGGCTTAGTAAAACGAAATATATCGATTTCAATTTTTTCCATTTTCCATTTGTATGCCAGTCGTGGAGTAACGTCGTCTTCTCTACATATTTCTAAAAAACCCTAATCAGCGTAAAAAGTTAGCGTTTTCTCGTATTATTGATAAAAACAATCATGGACGTTGAATTCGTAAAAGCAGAAAGCACAGTTTTGCCGAAAACCGACATATTGTTGGTTGGTAACTTCTTTGCCTTCAGCCCAGATTTCTACTCTACCGAACTGAAACATCAAGACTTCTATGTTAGTACAGTGCATCTGATATAATGATGGACATAAAAGGAAAGAACAAGTAATACACTTACATAATTTCCCTTTTCAAAAGTTATTTAAAACTAAGCTCATGTGTCGTAACCTCTGAATAATTTCATCTAATATTGTATTTCTTCTTACAAATCTGCAAGGGAATCGTACGGTGATTATGCCATAGGTTACGTCTAACTTAAACGAAACCATAGATACTGCACAGTAAAATGTAAAAATACACTGTTGCACTTACGAGGGATGTCTTTTAAGTTTTGCATATGGAAATAAAACAACACGGTAGGTAGTTTTAAATGACTTTATTGTTTTTCGAAGTATTCTCCACGAAGATTAATACACATCTGCATGCGCTCGAACCAATTTTCGAAGCACTTATTCCACTCATTTGCTGGCAGATCCAAAACGGCATTTTTGAATGCGTCAACTGCTTCTTCTGTTGACTGGAACCTTTGACCACGCAGTCTGTTTTTAATTTTCGGGAAAGTAAAGAAATCGTTAGGACTTTGAGATCTTCAAAAGGACGCCTCAATCTCGCGATATGTCACATGTCTATCTTCAATGATTTTTGGTGCACCCACCCTGGGATCGTCGCTAAGACTCACCCGTCCACGTTTGAATTCTCCATACCAACGGGAAATTGTCGACTGATGTGGCGCTTCGTTGCCGAACACAGACAGTAACTCAGCAAGGCATTCTTGTTGCGATAATTGTCTCTGAAAGTTTTTCTAATGACTTGGTGACACTTAATTCACTGTAGTGAGAACACTGCACGTAATGTTGTGAAACTTTGAATTTAAGTTTACTAAAGAGTGAGGTTAAGATTCAGTACTGACGTTCGATCCGCCCGGCCTACTATGTTTCTATATGCAAAACTTAAATTTATTTTCCAGGACAACCTAATCCACAGCTTTCCTGTGATTTTTATCGAAGTGTTTTTATATTTTCGGACGATAGAATAACGTTAATTGTTATAAATTTCATGTATACTTGCAGAAGTGAAATGTTTAAAAGTTTGAGAGGTTATACAGCTGTCAGCTGTTGTTTACAATGGTTAATATGACCCAAACTCGGCGAACAGCGCCCGTCTAAGAAGAATATACTTTCAAATTAAAGTTTTACGGTCTTCTAGGAATACAAAATATAGTGCTAATTTTGTTGGTCTAATACAGAGTTCCCCAAACTTTTTTGTGTCGTAGACCCCTTGCCATGTTTTTCCATGTTGGGTAGACCCCCTACTTACCTGATATTGATTTCCTGTAAATTTCTAACTGTAGTGAAGTTTAGTGTTAAAAACTTAAATTAAAAATACATGTTGATTTATACATTTATTAATTGAATTTAAATTAAAACTACTCATAATAAAATTTTGTATCTGTTATGTAAAATATACGTAACATTAAATAAACAGGTTTCTGACCAATAAGTGCCCACATTGGGAATAAGTGCCCGCATTGAAAAAAAAAATAAGAGGGATAAAATAAAAAAAAGTGAAAAATGATAAACAAAAAAAGTTTTTTACTTAAAATAGTACAATAAGCGAGTTCGTTTATTAATTATAACATAAACGTATGTTCGACAATAATTTCACTGTTAGTTTGATTAAATTCCGCTTCTTATACGTTTAAGTTATCTAAAAATAGGCAAAAAATTAACCAATTTTAGTGTATAGCTATCCTTGAATTTACAGAATAATTTAAAAAAAATATTTTCTATAAAGGGGGGTTCTTTAAAAAAATCATTGCGGGCACTTATTCCCAATGCGGGCATTTATTGGTCAGACACCAATAAACATAAAATAAACTATAAATAAAATAACATAAGCAATAAGTCAATATTTTTAGTGAGAAGGATGAACCTGATGCTTTAATAATAAATTATCAACATTTGGCGTCAAATCTCCTCGGCTAATGATGTCCAGTCTGTTTCTTTTTTTCGTTAGGAGATTGGTAACAGCGCTGAACCCCCTTTCCACTAGGTATGACGATGGAAATATTCCATAATACGGGATAAGTAACGGGTATGTTGTTTTGCAGCCAGAATTGCTGATATCCGTTTTTAAACTGAACCTTAAGTTCTTCGTTTGTACTTAGTTCAGTCAGTTCCTCTTGTATTATGACATTCGTTTCTTGTATGTCACCATATGGATTAATTATCCACGGTGGTATTACCATAGTCAAAATATCCTCAAACCTAGATTCAAAATCTGAATAGAGGGCATTTAAATGTTGAACGTAAGTTGAAACGTCGTCTTCCTGACAGCTTGTATGTGACAAATTGGGGAACTGAGAAAATTCGCCCCGTCCAATATTTTGCTTCATTAGTTTAACTCTGGCAAGAAACGCTGATAAGATGGACTTTGTTTTAATCAAATTTAAACTGTCGCCTTGTAATGGCAAATTAACCATATTACATTTTGTAAACAAATCTGTTAAATAGGCGATGTTTGTTTTCCTCTTCATTAAATTTTCTTTTAAAATTTTATCTTTAGTATCCAGAAATTCTAAAATAGTCTCAAAAAGTGCAAAAAATCTTGTCAAACATAAGCCTTTCGACAGCCAGCGTACTTCAGTGTGAAGGAGTAATTGATGAAAGTGTTCGTCATTTTCTTCACACAACTGCGAAAATAACCGCGTATTCAACGCATTGCTTCGGATTCGGTTTACTGCATCAATGACTGAATGAAGTGATTCATGCAATCTAACACTCAAATTTTTAGCAATGTATTGCTAACACCCCTGACCCGTTTTGTTTTAAATAGCTTATAAATCCACGATAACGTCCAACCATGGCAGGTGCTCCATCTGTAGCTACTGATATTATATTTGATAAAGGAATTGCTTTTTTAATAAAGTAATCCTTCAAAACATGAAATATTGATTCACCTTTAGTGTCGGTTATCAAAGTTCTTGCGAAGAGCAGTTCTTCGTAGATTTCTTGATTCATAATAAAACGAACATATGCCAATAATAATGCTGCATTGTCAGGTAAAGTTGACACGTCCAGTTGTATAGAGAAATGGGTCGTTTGCAAATAATTACATAAGATGCTTTCAATATCAGAACTCATTTCATCAATACGTCTTTCAACAGTATTGTTGCTTAAGGGAATTCTTTTAATGATATCAGATGCAGGTTTGTGTAAAACAGTTTTTAAAACCTCTTCAACGGCTGGCAAAATTAACTTCTCTCCGATAGTATGCGGTTTTCCGGATTTTACTATAAGTAACGAGATATTGTAAGACGCCCGCAAACCATCATCATTTCTTTGTGACGTCGAAGCGAACATTCTGTCCAGTGTAGGTCTCTTCTGAAATTTATCTTTGAGTGTTTGAAAGTATTTCAAATATTTCTCTGTTTTATCAGGGTGGCATCTTCTCAGATGATCTTGCAGTTTAGATGGTTTCATAGCGTCATTGCCCAAAACTTTGTTGCATAAAAGGCACATAGGCGATTGTTTGTTCGGCAATGATGGAATCAAGCCAAATTTCAAATAATCAACACTGTACTGTGTACATTTCTTTTTAGATTCGGACATGGCATCAGTCATCTGTGGGCAAAATTAAATTATTTAAATAAGACAGAAAATCCAGCAGCTGTATATTAAAAATATTTTTTGATTTTTCCGAAAACATTCCATAATTTGAACGTCTTCTTGCAACAATTAGCTCGAATTACGGAGATTGCACTGTAATTATATCACCGATTGCTAAAACTTTCAAAAAGAAACTATTGAGGAGTACTCGTGTAATTTTGCATGATTGAATGTTTAACTATTAATAACTAAAGTCATGATTGGCGTAATTTATCTATCTTTGCTAACTACGAGTACAAAACTAAAATTTAATAAAAAATAATGTTCTTACTTTTCTCCAGCACTCTCAAACAAAATAACACTGACTCACTATAATTTGTGTGATATACTGTCTGTTTATATTTTTTTAAATATTTTCTTAGCATTTTCCTTTTCAAGATTCAGGAAACGAATAAACGTATTTGTCCCACATTCGTATTTATAGAGTGACGAATTGAACAAGTCAGTGCAAGGTAGCGAAGCTCTGAGACTGCGACTCTCAGGTTTTTACAAGTTCAAAATGTATTGCGACCACAAAGCGAATACCAACATCCTACAACTTACACAATTTTATAAACATATATAATAAATTTTTTACTTCATAGGTACTTTTATAAATAATGTATATGTTTTGATATTATAAGATAGTATGATGTAAGTAAATAGGTACTATCAGTGTATGTGTTGAGATCCACTGTCGTGGACCCCCATATTCATTTCATGGACCCCCAAATTTTTTTTCGCTGACGCAGACCCCTTGCAGGTTGTCATAGACCCCTAAGGGTCGATATAGACCACTTTAGGAATCAATGGTCTAATAGAACGAATGTTAACTATTTAAGACCTACTTAAAAAAGAGTCAACTAGCCTACTAACATAAAATGTAAGTTCTTCTGATTGGGATACATGATACCATTGTTTTCCACTTTAGATTGAGGATAATTCAACCCCTGAAGAAGGACATGAGGAAATACTAGAACAGGAAGAAGTAGGACTTCTTGATGAGGACGACAGCACTGCAGATACAGTTCAGGAAGAAGAGGAGCTACTAGAAGAAAAACCTGAAGTGGTTGAGGTGAAACAGGAGGATGTTTTCACTTGTGAATTCTGCGGAAAATGCCTCAAAACTGCAGTGGTATGTAGAAATAATTTATTTCCACCTGGTTACGTGGAATAAGCAACTTTAGTGTATAGGCTGTATTCTACAGGGTCCGTCAGAAAGAACGCATGTTTTTCGAATGGGTACTACATTGAGTGGGCTGGTCCCGTGTCGGTGGGGAAGGGCCTGTTGGATAGTGGGAGAAGTGCCGTTTCAGTTGGCAAGATGGTTTGGAACGTTGAGCATCGTGTGTTCACTGTACGTCGGTACTTTCAAAATTGCGAGTTTCGGGTTCACTTTCGTGTTCCGCGTCGTGGGACAATACCAGACTGTAACACCATTTTGAGATAGGTGGAAGCATTCAACACAACAGGTAATGTGATGAAGAAAAAACCGCCAGGGCGAAACCGTACTGTTAGAACCTCCGAAACGTAGACAGAGTGAGAGTTGACACGCTGCAAAGCCCGAATCGTTCCGTCCATTTGCGTGCCAGTTCCCTGGGGATCGACGCGTCCTCTGTACGTCACATCTTGAAAAAGGATTTAGTGTTCCATCCTTACAAAATCCAAGCTTGTCAACAACTGTTGCCAGGGGATTATGCATAACGTGTTAACTTTGCACAGCTCATGATTGAACAGTTGGATAACAATGACATGACGTTGTTTATTAGTGATGAACCACATTTTCATTTACATGGATACGTCAATAAACAAAATTGTCAATATTGGTCGCCAGTGAACCTCCAACAGTTGAATGAGCACCCCCTGCATACCCCGAAAAATACAGTTTGGTGTGCAGTAGGCCCAACGATGATTATTGGCTCTTATTTAGAACAACTTTTTTTTTCGGAACTTCGACGTCGACGTGTCCGTCTCGGAACAGTCTCAGAAACTTCTTCGGCAAAAATTTCCGGGACGTGTCATTTCACGTCTTGGCGATATTCCATGGCCCCCTCGCTCCTCGGACCTGTCAACGTGTGCTTTTTTATGGGGCTACCTGAAATCAAAAGTTTATGCTGGCCGACGCAATGGGCTCATTTCGGGAGAGACTCGATTCCTGCATTTCGGCTCAAGCGCGCCATATGGCCGACATAGTTTTTAGAACGTAAATTTTGTATTACTCAAAAAATGGCATGTATTTCTGAGTATTTTGATGTAATAAAATACTTTTTCCCATACTTATTTTGACTGTACTACTCATTTAAAAAACGTGCGTTCTTTCTGACGGACGCTGTATTTGCAGGATCGTCAGAGAATTTATGGTATTTAATGTGTACACCCGAGATAAAGAGAAAAACACGTCTAAACTAAATATGATGCTTTCGTCCGCCCGAACATCCGACAGCCAAGCATGGGCAGCTGTTTCGTGCTTCTTGGATACTCATCAGCTTTGTCTAGGCTTGGACTCTCATCTCTGGGACAACGAAAGCATCGCAACTATCCTCTATCCAGCAGTTTCGATCCATGGAAAGACGACAGCGCAAAGCGCCGTAGCTGCTATTTCTTGGAACTGTAAAGATCTCAGATCGAGTTTAATAGCCCAGTCACCATAAGACCGCTAGATGGCTGACGCTTTTGTCTGAATAGTGGATGTGGTCTACTTGCCATTTTTAAAAACATGTCCGTTACAGAAAGAGTAGGAATAAAGCGCGTGCTCGACAACAAACACAGCGAGTCTGTGGACGATTCATTTTCAACATACGTGTTTCTTTTTATATACTAAGTGACATATAAATCCGAACACCCAGTGGTGGTTTTATTTTAATAAAAGTTGGTGAATGTATTTATCTTACTGTAAGTAACAAGTGAAAAAATTTTCAGCCTTATCAGTTGGACATTCCGGTTTTTATACTGCTTTTTTTTAATTCACTAACGCTCTAAAAATGAATATTTCAGCCGCAGTAAAGAATCAACGTTGGCGGATTTTGGTTTTTGACATCCTTTACGATCGGTTACGATGCCTAGAGTACGGAGACCTGTACGATTTCGTCAACTTAGTGAGTTTGATAGGGGCCGTATAGTGGGACTTTCTTTTCGGGCAATTGCAGTTAGAGTGCAAAGAAGTGTAGACACTGTGGTTAGGTGTTGTCAGGCATTGCTTCGAGAAGGCCGTACGCAAAGAGCAAGGGGCACTGGACGCCGCCGTAGAACAACAGACCGTGAAGATCGCCGCCTAAGATTATTGGCCTTAAGGGACCGTTTCTCCGCTACCAGGTCCATTGCAAATGAATGGTTTGCAGAACACGGAAGACCTATTGGCATGCGAAGTGTTTACCGACGAATGAGAAGTTTTGGCTTGTTTTCATACCGGCCACACTAGGTCCTCCCTTTAACTCGAGAACAGCGACGTAATCGCCTTGAGTGGTGCAGACAACGGTCACTCTGGGATCAGGAATGGAACAGTATTGTCTTTAGTGACAAGTCTCGATTTTCTTTAGGCATGCACGATGGTCGTGCCAGGGTTAGAAGGCGACGTGGTGAAAGGAGGAATCCACAGTTTTTTGTTGAAAGACATGTTCATCACACTGTTGGAATTATGGTTTGGGCTGCTATAGCTTATGGTTCAAGGTCACCTTTAATCTTCATCAGAGGTAACATGAACGCGCAGCGTTGTATCCACGAAGTTCTAGAACCCCATCTTTTACCCTATCTTGACACCCTGGCAGATCCAACTTTCCAACAAGATAATGCCCGACCACATGTTGCAAGAGTCACAATAGACTTCTTTCAACATAATGATGTCACATTGTTACCATGGCCACCAAGATCTCCCGACTTATCCCCAATTGAGCACGTGTGGGATATGATGGGTAGGAGATTGCTCAATTTGCAACGTCCTCCTCAGACTCTAGAAGCACTTCGAGAGGAGTTGGTGGTTGCCTGGAATGAGATACCACAGGAGGACATTGACCACCTGATCAGAAGCATGCCTAGGCGCGTTGGAGAATGCGTAGCACATCAGGGTGCATCCACACATTATTAAAGTTCAAAGGGCTTTAAAGCAGTGCAATCATTTTGAAATTTTTATCATTACTTATTATGCTTCATTAAGTACTTGTACAAAATTTTATTAAAATAAAACCATTTAAACTGGGTGTTCGGATTTATATGTCACTTAGTATATTATAAATACGGGACGTCAATGATTCTCTGCCGATGGTGTATGGCTCCTTGTATACAATTTATAACAGGCTCGACGACATTATCCGTGACGATCGCAGAGTTGGGTTCAACTCGCTGAAGCACCCCTTGAAACCAGCTCTCGAAGCAGCTGGCGTTCATTTCGTCATGGTAATCACCTCCTTTCTTAGAGACGAAAGTTAAGTTGCATCCTTCTAAAAAGCTACTATCGCTGACAATATGTGTAATGATCCATCTTTGCCCTTTTCCTGACGGTGCACGAAGACCTGTTGATAAACCTTCAATGCTTGTCTCGTCCAAATAATATATTTTTCTGCTCTGCCGTCTATATTCAGTTATCGCGCGTAGGTATTTTCGACGCTACGCGACTACCTCAGGTTTCTCTATCAATCATGACTTCCTATTACGCGTTTCGTAACGAAAATTAAGTTCGTGCAGGGTTTTCCTCAATACTTCGACGTTCACTGGGGGTATAATGTCATTACCCTTGATCTTTGCATGTATAGCCTTTAGGGTTGGTATCTCCTTCCTATTAAAGATTGAATATCTTAACGCCATTTTGCCGTCGCCATTTAGTTTAATGGCCTTTCGTTCCTTCAAATGGAATTTTGGATCAGCAGTAGCTCCCAAACTTAATAAGTAGCAGATACATTCTGCGCTCTACTCTGTTATATGCACTTCTTCCAGGAGCATTGGTAGCTAAAACCAATGCATCGAGATCATGTCGCTTAAAGTGTTGTATAGCAAACCTTATGACTTTTTGATAACGTGGATTTTCATCTGGCAATCCATCAATCGTCATGATTACCACTGGTTTTACTAGTCCATGGTCAGTTTTAGCTAATGTTCGAAACTCTTCAAGTTCGAGAAGCGTCTCGAAATCCTGAGCATGAGTATTAGCAGTAGATGAACTATGCTTTCCACTTCGAATAGCGATGTATGTTGGTCCAGAATATCCAACAGCTTGCGGTTGTCCTAGCATATTGGAAGTTATTTTGATACCAGCATAAACAGATGGTATTAATTTATGACGCTCAGCGATTACCCAATCGTGATCAGGCAATTTGATTCTATATTCCATGTGCATTAGAAGAGGTGCTTGCTTATTTGCCGCAGTTACGCCAATAAGGACTCGAGCTTTATCATCTTGAGATATGAAAAATACTTGATCTGGTCCAAGTATGGATGATATGTTCTCTAAATAATGTATTGATATTTCAGCGAACTTGCTATCTAAGTGGCTCTTGTGGTGATCAGTTTGAGCCCGAATGAGCTTAACAGGGACTGTCGATACATGTCTTCGTCCCTCTGCAGAATTAGATTTTCTGGGAATCAAACGGAGATATGTCCCACTGCGACTAATGTCAATCCTATTTTACGTAATTCTTGTGTGAGTTCATCAAGAGTTTTTACGCTGCGAATTGATTCCGTTCGTCTTCTATCATCTGCTGCACTCCCAAATAAAGCTATATCCGCGATTGTTTTCAATAGTGAATGTTGATTGCTTTCAAGATTAGGACGTCCCGCTGAATCCCTCAGAGATAGTCTTTTTTTATTTATGGATTTTCATGACAAATATCTTCTAACTTTCTTTTCATACCATCCCTGTATTTCTTCTGGGCAACTGCGTTTTGCACCTTCCTGTTTAAATACTGTTTTGCTGTTTTTATTGCCTCGCGCAAATTAATGATCTGTTTATCAACTTCAGCACGGCTTGGCATAGTATCTCTGGCAGAATACAAAGCATTCAGATTTTTTTCGAGTAGAGCAATCTTATTTTTCATAGCTTCCCGAGAAGGTTTTGCTCTCTGTTTATCTGTATTTTCATTAATTTCGCATTGCTGTTGTGATTCATTACCGGGTTTGATTTTATCTTCTACCTCTTTTTTTATATTTGAAGCTGACTGTATAATTTGTGTTTTTTCTGCAGGTTTACAGGTTGCCTAAAAATAAAAACTTTCTATGGCTTCTGCTAAAGATTCTCTTATTAAGCTACATAAATACAAAGTATGGCAATATATATGGTAAATACAAAACCCCATGGCTTTAAATCTAATATGTTTAAACGAGCAATTCGATCCGGTCACAAAATACAGGGTGTTAGTTTTCTGTATATATGTATAAAACTAACATCCTGTACTTTGTGACCAATTGACGGAATCAATCATAAGAAATAAATCTATAATATAATTAATATTACCTCTATACTTTGAGATTGGCCATCATATTTTCTAATCAGTAATGAGGAACTTTTTGGCGATTTCTAATATTTCTAGTACTCATAGGTACCTAAAATGATGTCACTCACCTTAGAAAAAAAATTTAGTAGATTGGATTTATTCTTTTATTCTTAGTCGCCGCTTGCAATTCTTCTTCGATTCTCTTAGATACAATAATATCTAGTTCCTTGTCGGATTTTGCTTGTAATTTGTAATTTCGCCACACTTCGTTAACTAACTTTTGTACATTTTGTACTTTCGTACTTGTATGAGATTTTTTAAAACTTTTAACACGTTGGCTGCCGTGAGACACAAATGTGGCGTCTCAGGTTGTTTTCGATAACAGCCGAGTGACACACCTTAGTTGTCTCGTCAGAAATTCTGTAATATAGCCGTGTGAGCCTGGGTGGTTGTCTCAGTCCTATATAAGTAATATGGGACTGAAAGATCACGGCTGTAAATGTCTAAAACTGTTTTTGGTTTTTGGATCCGTGACCTATAAGTGGTTACTCATGGCCTGATATATACGTAGATAATAAAACGAAAGGTATTCAAAAAGGAACCTCCTTATGAAGTGGAATACAACAAAAAATATATTTCTCATAAATATAGAACAAAAAACATGAAAATGTATAATAAAAACAACAATTATTTTGTGCACTTATGTACCTGGAAAAAACACTCAATGCAAAAATATTTTTCACATGACGTGCACTTTAGTTTTGTTCGCAGAGTTTTTCTTTGAGCATGTGCTCGCCCAGATTCTCTTTGAAGTTTTTCATAACAAAAAGCGCATCGACGTCGGTTGTTGGTACCAACATCTTCCAAAGAATGTTGATGATCTTCAAAAATACTATGCGTATGCTGATCAACGTCAAAGCCTAAGAGTCTGTTTACGATTTCCTGCTTGAATTTTGTGATGGACATTTTTTCGTTGGCTACTTCTTGGTGCAAAACATGTGCATTTACTAATGCACTACCAATAAGAAGCTCAATGGCCAGCTTGCGGTACCACTTCACCCCTGTGCGTAATGAGGTGGCATAAGACTTCATTTGATCCGACAAGTCAATATAGGCTTTATGTTTGTTGTAGTCAACCACAGCAGCAGGTTTTTGCAATTCTATATTATTGCCAGATCTGATGATTAGTAACTCATCGGTGTGTTTTGTGGATAAGGTAAGCACATCTCTTTTGTCCTTCCACTTCTGGATAATTATACCTGAGTTGCTTTCAGCTGCCCCAGTTTCTCCTTTTTTGAGCTTTTTATCAACAACTTATTTAGGATTCATTTTTCGATTGGATCGGAGAGTCCCAACCAAGTGAGTGTTCCTTGTATAATAATTGTCCGTATGTCCGTCCCTTTTCAAACAAGTCCTTTGCAAGAGTGAGCACTATTTTTTGGGATGAAGATTGACCCTCTACACAAGTTTTATAGCTTCTTAGGAAGACTGGAACACATCTGATGAACACCGCATAAACTAGACTGAGACATCACTGATAGCATTCGCTTCTAATACATTGTTCGGCTCGCACCGGTCGACAGGTCGATACAAGTCGGTGAGACACAACATTTGTTGCACGCGGCCATTGGGTAAAACTTCATATGTTGAGGCCGCGTGACCATGCGGTGAGTCTCATCAAGAAACGTGAAAAAGAGTATGAAAAAATTTTTTTTGGGAACACAAAACACGCGCGGGTGTTCTAGTATACTGAAACTAGTATTTGGAAAAAAAAAAGGTGGCCCCAGGGACCGATTTTTTTTAGTACGAGTATTACGCCAGTCAACGTGTTAAACAATTTTTGGTATAACTTGGATTTGTCTCTGTGAAACGACATCTTATTTAAACATTAAACTAATGGAATCAATGGTAACACAAATGTTAACTTGCTTTACTATGCTTACAATACGTCTACTCGCTATGTATCCAAATAAAACAATACACTGATAGAGGAAATTTAGACAAGTGAAAACCGCGCGGTAGTTCCCCTACTCGGTTCTAAAGCGAGTAGGGCAATTACCGCGCGCTGTTCACTAAACGTATGCATTATTTGCGGGAATCCCCGAAAATGCGTTTCGTTTGCAAGCAAAGACAATGTGAGGAGGGTTGCCATTCGTGTAAGAGAGTAAATAACTACCGATGACGTAATCATCATCTAGACTCCCTACCCCCATGTCATCCAAAATAAGCAAAGCAAAGACCCCCCCGTGCCCCCATAGTGCTCACGTAATACTTGAACGGCCCCGAATGTGTAAATCGAACACTCAGAGTTTAGAATACCACTTTGTTCTAGCCTGACGCCTCTCGACAGCCGTTCCGTCGCCCAGCTATGGTCATGCTCTGATCACGCCTATGAGTCATTACAGATTTATATAATTACAGTATAGTTGACAGTAAATATGCTTTACAACTGTCTATTTTAATTTTCTCTTTTTTTTCAGGGTTTGAAGAGACATATAGCAACAAGCCACGAAGTAGATCAATTTAAAGAAGAAGATGATGATCCTCTTTCATTGCAACTTTGTGCATGCTGTGGAGAACCATCTGACACAGCTCACTCTGTAAGTACAAATACTAATGATGAAAAATACAACCAACCATCGATTTGGCCGCATAATATTTTCGTTGTTTCTACAACCTCCGGATAGGCAGGGAAACTAATGCGCATTTCAAAAGCTAAAAATTTTAGATGGCTCATTTGGATGTTCAGTGAATGAATGCTATATCAAGAAAACATATGTAAATTAATTTTGTTGGTCTAGTTGGCTTTTCAAATTGCGTAATCTCGGTAGCGGTCACCTAGATTTCCATCAAACTTTAACAGAGCAATATGCTGTGGTATCATATTCTTATATGCTTGTAGTATTGGTAAAGTCGGGTTTTAATGATGCAAGTTGCTCAAGGGGGTATTTAAAATGTGGACGCTTAAAGTGGGTACACCAATTTTGGTGGGAAAACCTTTTATCCAAACAACAAAGAATGAGAAAACGTGTTTTTTGGTATTCAATTGAAAGTGTTGGCACTTCTAAGATCTGTTATAAACAATTACAGTGCCCTTGAAAACTATACAAGATACCATGCTGAATCTGTAAATAATGTATTAAGGACTAATAACGAGCATTTTACTACTCACTTCGCTACAATTGGTTGATATTTGTCTACTGTTGTTTCGTTTTCTCGAGTTTATTTTCCAACATTTGACGAATACTATATTAAGGGCCAATTTCACCAACATTAGTATTTGACGGTCAGTTGGACCAATAGGAAAAGACCTTATCGAAATGCAATTTGATGGAAGCTGTCAAAGCTCTCTGAATATCAGTGATTTCTATTGAAATGTTGAATAAAGTCGTGAAAAAACGGTTGCCTTATAAATAAGGATACATTATAGATGTAATATTATCAGAATAACTTTCATAGAATTTAAAATTTTTGTCATTTCACAAAAGACGGTCAGTTATTTAAATGGACCAATGAAAATGAGAGAAATAATAGGTCGATTTTCTAGCTATTATATTAAGTAGGATGTTTTCACTGTTTTTGACGACTGTTCATGCATGGCAATCTAGTTTTGACTTTATATCACGTACAGGGTGTTGTACATAATACGGACCTGTATAAATGTACCGATTTTTGTTATTTTACAAAAAAAGGATATAAAACGTATTCCAACTGGTTCATCATCTCTTGTTACATCAAAAACAATTTTTGTCAATTTATGATCTAGAAATCCACACCAAATGTAAATAAACAGCGCATTCTGCATTTCTGTGTCCTAAAACATCCATATTTGTAAAAGTATCCGCATCTACCTATTATTCATCCTCTAGATATTATGTCAGAATCAAAAATACCTATTTATGAAAATATATCTCCAAAGATTCTTTCATTTTCTTGTTGTTTCTATTATTATAACACGTCTGGGATATCAATTGCTTTTAAAGTGATCTGTACATCTGCAGTGTTGCCGAACCGGCAAAAAACGGAATCAAATAGTGTCGTTGAATTCGGTATAAGAAAAATGTCGTCCCAAGATCAGTGGTAGATCAAGGACCTTTGAGTCATGAAAAGCGTCTATATTATAACTTCTACAATGTGCATACTGGTCGCTCTTTCAAAGTACTTTGCAACCATTCTGGAAACTCCTTTTTCGATTCTTGCTTATAGGATTGTGAATGTTTTTCTGTTTTACCTCCGAACTCATGAACTCACCTCTCATTTTAATTAAATATTTATTTTGAAAACAGACAGGTTTCGGTTGTATACCCAAAAATCAATTCAGGGTAAGCGGAGTAAGGGATGAGGATGTGCGTTCGTAATCATAGGCAACCCAAATCTACGCCTTTCATGTGCTCGACTGCACGAGTGTTAATGTATATGTATGATTGATATAAAACTATGAAGACTGCATAAAATTAACTTTTAGCTTTATTTTGAAAAATCGTGGAGAATGATGTTATCGGTAAATATTCTCTTTTCGGTAAAAATACCGAAAAATTCGGTTCAAGTCCATGCACAGACAATCTCAAATTTGCAGTATGAATTTATATTGTAAATTCTATGCATATCCGTTCATATTCGTCAATATTTCATTTGAAGCTTTTATTTGTCATAAGATTTTAGCAAAATGTAAGATAGTAGAGGCAACACCGCACCCTGCAGCCCAGTTGACAAGAACGACAATCTGTCAAGATTACTAATGTTTAGATCCACCAAAAGTATCGATATGTATCGATTCTTAGCGTTTTAGGAAGTATCGATACTCTAAAATATTGGAATAAAATTATCGATATCCAGTGGAAGGAAACAAAGAAGAAAAGTAATCTGAAGTTAAGTCACTCGTTCTGAGAAAGTCCGGATCGAAAGATGACGATACTCGTGAAATGTATCGATAGACCCAAGTGTCGGATATAAAAATATCGATCCAAAATATCGGGTATGGGAAGCAAAAGTATCGATACTTCTAAATATAGGATCGTATCGAATATCCCTAATCCCTACTGTCAAGATGTATAACCCGAGGTACCGACGGAGCTATTTTATAGCGTCATGGAAATAATTTTAAATTTTCATTTGGGGATTTTGGGAAAAATTCCACGTCTAGTCTTATAAAGCATAGTAGAGTATATTTCAACAGTTGGCGGAGCTTACTCCACTGGGACCAAGGGTTGGCGGATCCCACACATGTGTCACTCGTTGGGGAGTTTTAAAATGTAATAATCAGCTGTAATTCAAATAATGTCTAATATAAATATAACCTAGAATGTGTACTCAGTGAAACAAGAAAGTTATTGCAAATTCTATTTTTTTTTCAGGTTTTAAGTTTGCCGGTCCCTTACGATATATATTTGAGTATTTCTTAATCGCTGTAAATATAGTGTGGATGTTTGTTCAGTTCCTGAACAACCAAAAGATATTTGACTTTATGGATGTATGGATGGATATCAAAAATCCTGAACGGTTTTGTGAGAATATCAATCGACGGTGCTATAATGGTACTGATGAACGGCAAGTGAATGAATGAATGTCTGGAAACGAGCAATATCTATGAAATTTTTGGTAGAGCCTGTCATCAAGTAGGTGCTTAATGGCTATCTGCAAGAGGTTTATAGGAAAAGAACACACGGTTCTCTTAAGAGATTGGTGTATATGCTACTAAGAAAATCCGCTCATTTTCTCAAGATCCAGACGTCGTGTAAAGGAAAACTCCAACTTTGCGGACACCCTGTAATTCTTCATGAACTGATGACAGTGTTGCGTACGAAGTACAGAGTCATCCTACTTGACGCCATTTGTTTCCAGGTCGGCGATTTCAAATGCAGTATTTGCGATAAGCTGTTTGTCCAACTGGTCTGTCTCAACCGTCATTGTAGTATCGAGCATCCTACCGATGGAAAATATCAATGCGTTGAGTGCAAAAAGGTGTTTGCCGAGAAAGAGTTGTTGGCGCAACACATGTTCCTCCATCCTATCAGGATCTTCAAATGTCCATCCTGCAGTAGGGAGTTTAACAGGAGGTACGATCTGGCCAGGCACATCTGCCAGTCGTCTTGCATGGGACCGAGGAAAACTTTTGAGTGCAGAGTAAGTTGCAACATCTAAAATTTTACTCATGAATCTAGTGGTATGTCGTTCATATCAAAAATGCTTAATGAAAATGTGAAAAACGTTAAAACTGTTTATTTCAGGTTTGCAATAGGGTGTATACCCGCAAAGACAATTTAGCTGAACATTTGAGAGGTCATGCTGGTCAGGCGAAACCGAAAAAACTGTCTAGGTGCTCGTACTGTGGCAAAGAATTCTGCAGCAACAATTTACTACAAATCCATGAAAGAACTCATACAGGTACCTCTTCCATTTTAATGTTTCCTTTGGATAACATGTCAAGCTATTACCAATTCGGCAGTAATTCAAAAACATTTCTTAATAAAACATCAGTTTTTATGTTTATGAATAGTGAAAATATTAATGAACACGATGATGTAGATAATTGTGTTTAAAACAATTTAGTAAGACATTTACAAAATTGCAATAGTAATATAACCAGCAAATCAATATTTTAGGAAGGATTACTTGAATTTAATAAACTAAATAATGAAATAAAGTCTACTTGTAATTTAAAGATATTTAAAAGAAAATTTAAGGAATATTTCATGGATAAAGAAAATTCTTAGAGATGTAAATTTTGTTTTTTTTTCTGAATGTATGTTATGTAATTGTTTAGTTTTTTAGAAGAATGGTATTGTAGCAATCATGCTAAATAAATCTTAATCAAACAAATTAACCTAGGAAAGTCTGTTGCTCAAACATACTCGCAAAAATTGGTTTCCAAAATCCAGATTTTTGCCTTCCTCTCTAACTTCAACCTTCAAAAGTTTGCCCAAAAATTCGAGTTAGAGAAAATTCGAGATATAGAAATGTTTATCGAGGTAATAATGTACATTATTAAAATGCAAAAGTCAAAAAATGCATATACACCATGTCACTTCTGTCTGCCGTCTATCTGGTAATTTTGACCTCTTTATAACTGTTTGTTGTGTTTTTGTAAGTTTTGGTGTTCCTCAAGATTCCATACTGGAACCTTTACTTTTCTCTCTATATATATCGGATTTTCATCAATATGTACATAATTGCACAATCCATCACCATGCTGATGATACTCAAATGTATTTTAGGTTTCAACACAAAGATTTTAAAATAGCAGAAGCATTGCTCAAGGAAGACTTAACAAGGCTAGTAGACATCTCGTGCTCGCATAACCTAAAAATTAATCCATCTAAATCTTCAGTTATGGTTTTCGGCTCAAAAAACAAAAGAACATTGATCGAAACGGAAATTAACCTTAATATCTATGATTGCCGGCTTCCTATAATGAATGAGTGTAAAAATCTGGGACTCTGGATTGACACAGAATTAAATGCAAAAAACACGTAAATTCGTTATGTAGTGCATCATACTGCATTTTGAAGCAGTTTTATCCACATAGGCAAATAATATCTACTTCAGTAAAGCTGAAACTGTGTGAAACATTAATTATATCAAAGATCAGTTATTGTGACAGTATATATGGCGCAGCTCTTATCATATAGTGAACGAAGCAAACTACAGCGTATTCAGAATTCGTGCGTCAGATTTTCTTGCGGAATACGAAAGTATGATCATATTTCTTATAAATTTAAGGAACTTGGTATTCTGCAGATCAAAGGCATGTCAAAACTTCACTAATTGACACTCACACATAAGTTCTTAGCTACCAAACAACCACAATATTTGCATAATCAGTTAACACGATGTAGTGATAGAAATCAACTGAATACAAGGAATAGGAATATGTTAGTGATACCATTACATTCTAAGGCTGTCTACAAAAAATCATTCAGCTACAATGCTATTAAATTATATAATGATCTGCCTGTTACTTTCCAAAACAATACATTATTTAATTTTAAAAACAGGCTTAAACTAAAACTACAAGTCGAGGTCTGATGATGAATACAAAATGGTAGAAATATGGACTATTCTTGTAATTGTTCTGTTTTTTTTTGAGTTGTTAATTATTTAGTAATTATTGAGAATTATGAATACATTTGTGTTGGTGGAATGTTTTATTATATATTTTTTTTGTTAAGGTTTTTTGTACTTTTACTTAGGTACGAAATAAAGCCCATTTATTATTATTATTATTAAAATACTGCTTGAATTTTGATGCAATTTTTACACAAGGTTATTTCTACTTCAGGCAGCAGCGGTGGCCGGAGTGGTAGACTCCTCGGTTTCCTGATAAGTCGCCGTGTGCTGTGCGGGTTCGAATCCCGTCCAAAGAGAATTTTTTCTCTCGGCTATGGATGTTGTAATTGTCCGTGGGTGGTAGACGGTCTCTGACTGTCGAACGTGGAGGTACCACCCGGCGGAGGCGGGGCCAGAATGTGTGCATGTTGCATGCACACGTGTTCCCTCGCCAGAGTCCGCGTGGCGTCCCCCTATATCCCCACGGTACCTCATGGCTGTTTAGGCCTTCGTGGTAGTTGGAGTATAAAAAACTAACATGCCAAGTGCGAAAGCATAGCAGGTTTTGGAAATTTCATGTCACAACGTTCACTTTCGCTTTCCGATGATTTTTGAGTTTCTGAGCTTGTTTCTTATTTCGCTTATCACTAATGAGAATAAGAATTTTGCCAAACATATTTCAACCATGTATTGTTTGTTTTTATTCTGCTGAACTTCTTTTATCCGTTTTGTTTCTATACTGGTTTACTGGAAACTTTGTCATTGATGATGATGTAGGATGTAAATCTGTGATTGATACTTTATTCTTAGTCGCAGATTTTCACTCCTTCACAGCTATTCTTTATTCGGATGTTTCTGCTTGATGATTGACTCTGTACAGGGTGGCCAACTAAAAATGCGTATCTGGGAGCCTATCCATCGTAGAGGTTTGCGGCAAAAACAGTTATTACTAAAACGGCCAAGAGAAAAACCTGGTTGCGTTACAACATAGAATGACCCTGTCCGACACTCTGTCTAAGAAAAAAAAATGAAATTTGTAGTAATGGGAACTGAAAGATCACAGGGTGTACATTTACAACATAGAATGACCCTGTCCGTCACTCTGTCTAAGAAAAAAAATGAAATTTGTAGTAATGGGAACTGAAAGATCACAGGGTGTACATTTCCGTTTTTTTTAAAGCCTATAATTTGAAAAGTTTGTTTGTTTGTTTAAGATTTATTTAGCCTGATTGCTACAATTACCTTCTTCTGAAAAACTAAACAATTACATAACACACAGACATTCAGGAAAAAAACAAAATTTGCATCTCAAGGGTCGATTTCACCAACATTAATATTATGGACCAATGGGAAAATACCTTATCGAAATGCAATTTGACAGAAGCTATCAAAGGTCTCAGAATATCAGTGATTTCTGTTAAAATATTGAATAAAATCGTGAAAATTCGACTGTATTATAAACAAGACCACTTCTTGGTTCCAACATGATGCTTTTGTACAGAGAAAACAGGTCAACTTTCATGTATTTTGATTTGTGTTATAAATTTACATTTAACAATCAGTTATCCCCAAAAGCCAATGGGAATGCGGCAAATAATGGGTCGATTTTCTAGCTGTTAAATTTGGCAGGTAGATTTGGACGTTTGTTAATGCATGGCAATCTCGAATTTAAGTTCAATATACTGTTATCATTACATACCTGTTGAATAGTGTTGATTTGTCTGTATTTTGCAAGAAAATAGCTGTTGTCAAATTGCAAATGAAGTATACTAAGTGACATATAAATCCGAACACCCAGTTTAAATGGTTTTATTTTAATAAAAGTTGGTGAATGTATTTATCTTACTGTAAATAACAAGTGAAAAAATTTTCAGCCTTATCAGTTGGACATTCCGGTTTTTATACTGCTTTTTTTTTTAATTCACTAACGCTCTAAAAATGAATATTTCAGCCGCAGTGAAGAATCAACGTTGGCGGATTTTGGTTCTTGACATCCTTTACGATCGGTTACGATGCCTAGAGTACGGAGACCTGTACGATTTCGTCAACTTAGTGAGTTTGATAGGGGCCGTATAGTGGGACTTCGGGAAGCTGGACTTTCTTTTCGGGCAATTGCAGTTAGAGTGCAAAGAAGTGTAGACACTGTGGTTAGGTGTTGTCAGGCATGGCTTCGAGAAGGCCGTACGCAAAGAGCAAGGAGCACTGGACGCCGCCGTAGAACAACAGACCGTGAAGATCGCCGTCTAAGATTATTGGCCTTAAGGGACCGTTGACCGTTTCTCCACTACCAGGTCCATTGCAAATGAATGGTTTGCAGAACACGGAAGACCTATTGGCATGCGAAGTGTTTACCGACGAATGAGAAGTTTTGGTTTGTTTTCATACCAGCCACACTGGGTCCTCCCTTTAACTCGAGAACACCGACGTAATCGCCTTGAGTGGTGCAGACAACGGTCACTCTGGGATCAGGAATGGAACAGTATTGTCTTCAGTGACGAGTCTCGATTTTGTTTAGGCATGCACGATGGTCGTGCCAGGGTTAGAAGGCGACGTGGTGAAAGGAGGAATCCACAGTTTTTTGTTGAAAGACATGTTCATCACACAGTTGTAGTTATGGTTTGGGGTGCTATAGCTTATGGTTCCAGGTCACCTTTAATCTTCATCAGAGGTAACATGAACGCGCAGCGTTATATCCACGAAGTTCTAGAACCCCATCTTTTACCCTATCTTGACACCCTGGCAGATCCAACTTTCCAACAAGATAATGCCCGACCACATGTTGCAAGAGTCACAATAGACTTCTTTCAACATAATGATGACACATTGTTACCATGGCCACCAAGATCTCCCGACTTATCCCCAATTGAGCACGTGTGGGATATGATGGGTAGGAGATTGCTCAATTTGCAACGTCCTCCTCAGACTCTAGAAGCACTTCGAGAGGAGTTGGTGGTTGCCTGGAATGAGATACCACAGGAGGACATTGACCACCTGATCAGAAGCATGCCTAGGCGCGTTGGAGAATGCGTAGCACATCAGGGTGCATCCACACATTATTAAAGGTCAAAGGGCTTTAAAACAGTGCAATCATTTTGAAATTTTTATCATTTATTTATTATGATTCATTAAGTACTTATACAAAATTTTATTAAAATAAAACCATTTAAACTGGGTGTTCGGATTTATATGTCACTTAGTATATCTGAAAATTCTTACATACAGTGGACCTTCGTCATAGTTTACTATCCTGATTATGATCATTTTTAGCAGATGTGTTATATCATCAAATTGATGAACAAATAAAAGAAAGCTCTTATATACCTACATACAGAGGATTTTTCATGTAAATTTACTAGGTATCATGATTATAAGTATCTTTGGTGGATTGTTCGATCCGGAATGGATCTCGTATTTATGAAAATATTTTTGGTATCATCTAACCGTTGCAATCAGTGCACAAAAACTGTGACATATGATTTATAGCATAACCCGCTGCCCTATCAATACAAATTTAACATACAGGTCGCCTAACCGTGGGGATCCCGTGGTCGGGATGAATATCACGGCAACTACTGATGATTTGGGCATGTCTGGTAACAACGTATGAAGTGAAACTCGCTAAAATGATGAAAGATATGTCTGATTTGGCAGGGTAATGTCGCAGCCAAATGGCAGTCACAGTCACTCTTTCTGACACAGTCCGGATCGAAAGATGACGATACTCGTGAAATGTATTGATACTTCTAAATATAGGATCCTATCGAACATCCCTACTGTCAAGATGTATAACCCAAGGTACCGACGGAGCTATTTTGCGGCGTCATGGATATAATTTTAAATTTTCATTTGCATTTTTTCAAGTGTTGTGCAATGATTTTGGGAAAAATGTCACGAATCGTCTTATAAAGCATAGTAGAGTATGTTTCAACAGTTGGCGGAACTTACTCCACTGGAACCAGGAGGGTGAAACGGGATATTAATGCACAATCTGGCAACCCTGTCGCACCCTCACAAAATGGCCGCTGACAACCACACAAGTCACCGTGTTGTCATTGAATAGCATGGAATTAAACCTTCAGAGTATATGTTTTGTGACTGGTACCAAGAGTTGACAGATCCCACACATGTGTCACTCCTTGAAATGCAATAATCAGCTGTATTCAAATAATGTCTAATATAAATATAACCTAGAATGTGTACTCGTGAAAAAAGAAAAATATGGCAAATTTGTAGTTTTTTTTGCAGGTTTGCTGGTAGCTTTAAGGCATATATTTGGGAATTTCTTAATCGCTATGAATATAGTGTGGATGTTTGTTCAGTTCCTGAACAACGAAAAATGTTCAACTTTATGGATGTATGGATATCAGAAAACCTGAATGGTTTTGTGGGAATATCAATCTAAGGTGCCATAATGGTTCTGATGAACGGCAAGTAAATGAATAAATGTTTGGAAACGAGCAATATCTTTTGGTTAAGCCTGTCATCAAGTAGGTGCTTAATGGCTATCTGCAAGAGGTGTATAGGAAAAAACATCTAGTATCGCATATCAATTGAAGAAAATAATATAAACATGAATAAAAAATCAACAATAGTAATTAAAACATGAATTTTATTCAAAAATCAAACATTTCTTTAAATTTTGACTGAATTATATGTAATTTCTTAATATTCAATAAGCTGGTGATGTTTCAATGACAAGCTGACATCTCATACTTTGACAGTATTTTGATTTCAACATTTCATAGCTATTGGTTGCTAAAATTTGTTGATTGGAACTCATTTGTTCTATTTGACGGTCTATCACCCTACAGGTGGAGAATGGATTGTTCTTGGTAAAAATGGCCCTAAGAATTTTCATTGTCCATGAAATATTCCTTTAATTTTCTTTTAAATATCTTTAAATTACAAGTGGACTTTATATCATTATTTAGTTTAGTAAATTCAAGTAATCCTTTCTGAAATATTGATTTGCTAGTTACATTACTATTGCAATTTTGTAAATGAAAAACTATATTTCCTCTTGTATAATAATTGAGGTAATGATTATTCGATTGTATGTACGAGTAGTATTCTAAATGTTCTGGCAAACGATGATTTTTTATTTTAAATATAAAATAAGTACCAAATATATGTTAATTTTTTATATTCAACCACTGCAATTCTTGTAACAGATTTTATTTTGGTGTACTTATTTTTATTCAATATTATTCTCATAGCTTTATTAGCTTTATTTTGCAAGACTTGTAATTTTGAGAATATAGCTTCATTGGCAGTGATCAAGATAGTTGAGCAATATACTAAATTCGGTAGAATAATTGTATTATAAACTATTTTCTTGGAATAGGTACCAAGACTATGAGAAGCACTATAAAAGCAATTTGTTTTTTTTACAAATTTTGAAATAATGTATTCATAGTGATCCTTAAACTTTAGTTTACTATCAATACATGTACCTAAATATTTAATTTTTTATACAAAGGATACTGTAGAAGTTTTAAAATATGACTTAGCAAGGAGGCTGCATGTTACTTCAATACCAACAGATCGAGGAGACCTTACACCTTCGTGCACCAGCAATTCATTCAATTCTGCATGACCATTTACACGTAATGTTCTCTCTGGGTACCGCATAGTCTGACAGAAGAGCAGAAGACTCGACGTACGACTTGGTGCCGAAAGATGCTGAAAATGTTTCGTAATCGGTTGTCGAGACTTGGCTCTATTATTACAATGTGCCGACCAAAGCTCAAAGCAAAGTGTGGGTGTTTGATGATGAGGACCCAAACGTAGCTGTCTGAAAATCTCGATCTGATAATTAAGAAAAAAATGATAGCTGTATTTTTCAAATCGAGCGGGATTGTGGGGCGTGTAGTTTTGGACACACAGAAGACAGCCACAGCTAAGTGGTACACGGAACAGTGCCTGTCTAAAGTCATAGAGCCCATGAAAAATCTGAGACCAAGGTTAACAATGGACCTGCACCATGACAACGCTCCAACTCACCGCGCCAAAGCCTGTACCAAGTATGTGACCACTACTGGACTGAAACTTATTGATCACCCTCCTTACAGTCAAGATCTTGCTTTCTGTGACTTTACACTGTTTCCGCATGTGAAAATGAAGCTAAAATAAAAACGGTTTTGTAGCGATGAGGACCCTCTGAGAGCTTAGAACAACGAGTGTGCTGCACCTCCGGGTGAAACTTGGCAGAGCTCGTTTGACTGATTTTGGCCGATGGAGAAGTATATTGAATGTGGTGAAAATTTCTTCGAACGAAGTCAATAAATAAAGCTGTATTACAAAACTTTTATGGTACCCTTTGTATTTTTATGATAACTATTTTGACTTGGCACCGTGTTGTGGTTCCAGGCGAGAGGCCGTTCCCATGCGACATGTGTCCGAAGCGGTTCCCATCCAGCGGCGCGCTTGCGAAGCACCGTCGCATGCACACCGGCGAGAAACCGTACGAGTGCAGCCAATGCAAGAAGCGATTCGCCGCCAAGGAGACATTGAACAGACACGTGAAGACGCACACCGGCGAACGGCCGCACACGTGCCAGTTTTGTGGAAAGTCCTTCATACAACCCAGCCAGCTGCGCGCGCATATCTTCCATCACACCGGCGAGAACGGGTACACGTGCCAGCATTGCGGTAGGGCGTTCAATAGGAAGCTGAGGTTGACTACACACATCAAGTAAGATTAAGATTACGTCACTTTTTCATAGACACTCTTCACGATGAAATGAATTTCAGGGCGGATTTCACTAACATTAAAATTTAACGGGGTCTTTGACCAATTATGGAACAGCTTATTGAAATGCAATTTGTCGGCAGCTGTCAAAGCTCTCCTAATATCAGTAATTTCTATTGAAATATTGAATAAAATCGTAAAAAAGTGATTGTTTTATAAATAAGGGTACATTCTGGATGTAACACCATGTCTTTGAGCTTCAGAATTAGGATAACTTTCATAGAATTTTAAATTTCTATCATTTCACAAAAGACGGGAACTTATTTGAATCGACCAATGAAAATGCAAGAAACTGTGGTCGATTTTGTAGCTATCATATTTAATACGATGTTTTCACTGGTTTCGACGGCTGTTCATGCATGGCAATCTATTCAACGAACGTACGGAGTAATAAATCATCTGACAGGCAGGCGCCTCGTTCCTATTGGTCCGTTTTCAGTAGATAAGCCTCCAAGTTCACAATAGCACTTCCGAAGAAGAATTTCCGAAGGGCTGTGGCGTGGGGTTGTTTTTTTGTGTACTTTATTCATTTTTGTGAGAACTTTTCGACATGAGTGCCTTATTAGATGAGGGCCAATTACCAAGAAAACGGGCAAAAGAGCTTTGTCGGTTTCTGAAAAAGAAACTATTATAAATATATAGCTTCTCGGGAGCGCAATCCAAATGAAACTCAGAACGTGTGTATCATTTGTTTCAAGAGCATCAGGTGATCCATTTAACTTGATAATATTTGTTTTAAATAATTTTTAATAATGTCAACTAACTCTCTTATTATGCAACTTTTATATACAGTAATGGACAAAAGTATACTAAGTGACATATAAATCCTAACGCCCAGTTTAAATGGTTTTATTTTAATAAAAGTTGGTGAATGTATTTACCTTACTGTAAATAACAAGTGAAAAAATTTTCAGCCTTATCAGTTGGACATTCCGGTTTTTATACTGTTTTTTTTTTAATTCACTACGCTCTAAAAATGAATATTTCAGCCGCAGTAAAGAATCAACGTTGGCGGATTTTGGTTCTTGACATCCTTTACGATCGGTTACGATGCCTAGAGTACGGAGACCTGTACGATTTCGTCAACTTAGTGAGTTTGATAGGGGCCGTATAGTGCGACTTCGGGAAGCTGGACTTTCTTTTCGGGCAATTGCAGTTGGAGTGCAAAGAAGTGTAGACACTGTGGTTAGGTGTTGTCAGGCATGGCTTCGAGAAGGCCGTACGCAAAGAGCAAGGGGCACTGGACGCCGCCGTAGAACAACAGACCGTGAAGATCGCCGCCTAAGATTATTGGCCTTAAGGGACCGTTTCTCCACTACCAGGTCCATTGCAAATGAATGGTTTGCAGAACACGGAAGACCTATTGGCATGTGAAGTGTTTACCGACGAATGAGAAGTTTTGGCTTGTTTTCATACCGGCCACACTAGTAGATGGTCTATGGGGATTCGGTCTCAAAACTTCCAAAATCCGCCACCAGAGGCGCTGGCGTCGCGCGCCATTGACAGGTTGTTGGACGGAATCTGTATTCATGAGTTGGGGATTCCGCCGCTAGATGGCGCTGTCAAACCAAACGGAATCTGTGTGTCATTGGACACCTGTCATGCGTCATTGGGCATCTCACGCATAGATGGCGTTACACGTCATCTGTCATACGTCATTGGACACCTGTCATTGATGGGTTGAGCATCTCGCGCATAAATGGCGTAGATTTGTTTGGCGGTGTACAAACCTAACGGAATCTATGCGTCATTGGATAGCTGCCATTGATGGGTTGGGCATCTCGCGCATAGATGGCGCCGATGTCGCACCTGTCTGGTGTTGGCGTGGGCATTCAGAACGTGTATACAGGGGTGCATCGAAAAATAGCGGATCGATGGACCGACGGTATATCGTTAAATCGTATATAGCAAGGCGTGACCTAAATAGCGTGGTGGGCTCCTCTGGTCGGTCGGTCGGTCGGTCAGAATGTCTCATAACCTGTATACGATGTACTGTTATTATTATACAGGATGATACCGTTCAAAATGAAAATAGTATAGACATTCTGACAATTATTTCGCAAACCAGAGGTATTTTCAATAAAACTACAATAATACGTTTAATATTTTATTGAAAATAGAAAAAACTACATAGGTAATATGATATTTGAAAACCAGTGGCGTAGACGTTCAACATTTCTCTGGGTACAGGAAAATTGTCCGTTGGTGTGGCATGGATTGGAATCAGCAACAAAGTTTCCAGTAGCACACGGTGTACCATCATACTTGCAAACATCAATAATGTTGGGAAAAACACCAAAAATGTGACATTTCTTGAGTAAAAAGTTTGCTTTCTGTTCTCCACGAACGTAGACATAGTCAGCCGCATATATCACCTTATTTTTAATTATTTCATTTAACTTGGAATATTTAACGTCGCCGGAAGAATATTTAAGCCCATGGAAATTCTTCTCCAAGTAAGCGACAGTTTTCTTGTCTTTAGTATTTAATGTAGAAAAAGGTTGCGGAGGTGTAAAGATGTAATGACTTTTCTTGAAACCAATTTCGATACATAGTTCTTTAGGTACGAATAATCCGTCAACTGTAAAGCCTTGAATGTCAACAAACGCGATCCTCATGATGTCTGATGCGGAACTGAGAGTCCTTCGTTGCTTACGAGATGGTTTTAATAACTTCGGTGAGGGGGAAGTACTCGATTAAGCAGTCATGTATAATGATGCAGTAGGCCTTGGTGTTGGTTGGAAAGCCAGTATCGGCTTCGATATCCAATCTAACATCAACAGTTGATGATTTCATGGTTTCCTCTTGTTTGGAACAGTCAATAACAAACAAAGCGCGATTTTTAAAAGCGGTATAATCTAAAAGACATCTCTTCAGAGGAGAAGAAGAAGTTGTATAGCTGGTTTGAAAGTCGCTATAGTTGAAATGAGCTTCAGTAAAGTGATTGTTTGCAAAGTCCAATTGCATACGTTCGTTGGGATAGTATTCACCATTTAAAGATACTCGAATACTAGCAGCATTCACGTGATCAAACAGGGTAGGGTCTGAGGTTGCGACGTCACGTTTACCGGTTTGGAAACATACTATAATGAAACGTGGTCTTTCGATTGCGGTGCTAGTTTTAACTGACCATATTTCTCTTCTCGCATCTGCGGTAATTGCAGGCAGTTCATTCAGATCCCATTTTCTAAACGGTATAAGTATCGGCTTATCAGTTTGAATAGCTTTCAAAAGTTGTTCTTTCACATCATCACTCGGGTAAATATGTTTGATTTTCAGTTCCATGCTTTCAATAGTTATTTTCGCTGTCGTCGTCGTTCCAGTTTTTTCCTTGATAATGATACAATCGTTATCGTTTCTAGCTCTCACAAATCTGAGAGTTTGTCTGCCACACGTAATCATAGGATAATCATTGAAAATGTTGAAAATATGTTTAAGCGGCATTAGCAAGCTAAAAGACTTGTTATGTGTTGACGCCATTATAGGTGTTGAAGGATAGTTCCATCCAGCTATAGCCATATGATTTGAGTCTTCCTCACTGTAACATACGTAAGCTCGGACAGTACTTACAATACCAGGATCACGTACTGTTTCAACTTCTCTAGCGGATTCACTGTAAGTGCAAGAGTCAAATAGGAAGGCACCAAAGTTTGGAGCTAAAGATACATCTCCTGCTCCTCCTCCTCCAGTTATTTCAACTTTCCCTTTGATAGATAGAAGGGAAGCGTTCATTGCAAAGAACGAATCTACTTGATTGATGCTAAATTCCACAACATCATTACAATTAAATGACTTGATGAACGGCGTATAAGATCTATACTCAGCCTTGCGAATAGATTCATCGAATGCTGGAGATCGATATAGATCAAACATCGGAGAAGTATGTGATGCTGCTGCTGCTGCCTCCTCAGTTTTTCTCTTTTTGTACATGATTCTTGTTGTTGTTGACATGATATCCAAGTGAGCGTAGAAACAGGATATTTGATGTAGTTAGTAGTAGATGTCGTCGCTTAGGTGCTTGGGGTAATACTGAAGTTGCCTTGGAAGCACCACTATGTCTTATAATCACTAATCCCATCTGCGCTTCGCTCTCAACTCCAACACAAGAGTACTAGTTTCACCTTGAAAGTTTACAGGACGACCGTCTTGATCTAAAGCCAACACTGTGATGTTGGTTATTTCTTGTTTCGGTATAACAGGTAGATATAGTAAATTTACAGGTGTTTCGACTATAGCGTATCCAGGATCGGCTGTCACAGCAAATTCGTAGATCGTGTGTGCAGGCGTGTCTCCGTCAAAGGCTCCCGACGTAATGTTAGCATCAAAGTGTATGGTTGATACTTTTATTATGTTTACAGGTAAATCAGAAGAATGCTTTTGACCAGGATTAAGAACTTTTTTCGAGAATCCCAATAGATGTCCAAGATTATTCGGTTCTGTAAAAACTATTTTATAATACTTGCTAAAGATTTCACATTGCAGTGTATTATTGTTAGGTTTTAGAGAAAAATAATCATCCGGAGGAGCAACTTCATTTTCAAGATTCATTTGCGTTCGTATAAATGTTTCTATGTCGGTAATTTCATAACAACCTGTCGGAAACTCGATGACTTTTAATTGACCACCACCACCACCACCACCTATCCGGTCGATATAATAAAATTTATCTCCTTTTTCAATATTCGGTATGGAATTGTATGAAGTAAAAGACCTAAGCGCCAATTCATAATCTTTTTTCGGATCCAACACTATCGGTGTTGAAGGACGAAATGAAAATATATGAGTAGTGCTATTGACTCTCAACAACTGCGACATGATGAATGAAAAAATATAGCTGTGTACTAAGCATTTATTCAAGTTTTTTTTTTTTGTTTATTTTCGAATGGATAATTTACAGAAATAACAATTTGCTTGAGCAGTAGCCGGTCCATCCCAATGTGTTGTCCAATCAGGTCTGTTGTAGTGAACATAGCATGGAAGTCGTATTTGAAGATCAAAATTGGATGTGTATTCTGCAGGCAGTTTGTGCCATATACTCAATAATTCTGCAGGTCTCACATTGCTTATTAAATATTCCAGCGGCGGAATATTCTTCTCAAACTCTTCTAATGTAAATTCCGATAATGTTTTATTATCCATCGTTGTTGTTGTTGTTATTGTTTAGAAATTTCAAACACAATTGTCCGCAATTAACTTGATTATAAGTTTGGTAAGGATCGTTGTTGTAGAAAATTTTAGCGTTTTTCAGATATCGAACAAGTTCCTGTGGAGGCTTCAGGTTACCAAATGAATCGAAATACTCAACGTTGTTGTTTATCTTTTTATAAGCTACCCAATGAGTTCCGTTGTTTTGTGAAATATCTAAGTTCACGACGGCGCATTCTCTTTTACGTGGACCGTCTCGTGGTAAAGTGTCACGCATGAAGACACCTCGGAAATGAGGTATGTTCAAGAGCTTCGCATATTGCTTTATTTCATAATCATAAAGCGCTTTCTTGGGTAGCTTGATGTTTAGTTTTTTTGAGTTTTTTTTTTGAGGTACAACCCATAACCACCTTTAGCATTTTTTCTCAAATACAATCCTTTGCCCAAAGACTCCATAGCTTTGTTATGGCGATGGTCTTCCTCCAATTTCTTTTGTGCATTCTTGGCATCAACGACCGTTTTGGCCACACCTGCAGCTCCCCCTGCGAGCGCCCCCAAGGCACTTAATCCGGCGAAAAGGGGGATCAAGGGTAGGAATCCCCCAGATTTTCCTTCGATCGGAATTATTCTCGGTAGTCGAACTTTATGTTTTCCACCTGCACTCTTCACCGCTAATCTTGCCGCTTTAAGAGCAACCAATGCAGACTTTTTTAATGTCGTGGTGGTGGGAGCATTTTTCTTCAAGGACTTTGTGATTTTCGTGAGAACACCTCGTCGAAAAGATGATTTCTTCTGCCCCATACCCAATTTTCGCTTAACTTTCATTGCGGTGGTTGTTAGCCAAGCTGCAGTCTTTTCTCCTAGTGAAGCGTCAGGTGCTTTTACACGTTCCCAGGCTCGGTTCTCAAGAATCCAATCAGCTTTGTGTCTGTCTTTCAAATTTTTGTATAAGGCGTATGCAATATCGTGGTCTCTTGCAGCACGATCCAATGGGTTCTTTCCAGGATCTCCTCGTGCTAACCTCTTCTTTAATTTAGTCCCCGCTGAAAATATACATATACATGTGTGAGAATGAAAAAAAAAATATCCTAATCTGTCGCACACTTACGTCCCAGGAACTGATACGAAGGTACGTGGAGTTCTATCGGAAGATTATTTATCAGAGAGTTTACAACACCTTCACCCTTGTACGTTAACATGAGAACTGTTGATGATGCGTTAGCAATATCTACATATATACTTTTACACATTCCTTATTCGAACGCCACACGATGAAGGTTGTTCAACAAGAGCAGTCATTACCCATTGATAACTTGGATTTTACAGCAAAAACTCAACATAGTAAACATGGTAAATTGTTACCGAATTCGTTTCGCGCTATCATCTGCGGACCAAGCGGATGTGGAAAAACGAACGTAATGCTGGCGCTGCTTTTCCATCCAAACGGTGCTAAGTTTAAAAATGTTTACGTTTATTCAAAATCGTTGTATCAACCAAAGTATCAACTGCTTCAAGAAGTGATTTCCGCTGCTAAGGGTGTTGGCTATTTCCCATTTAAGGATAACGAGGAAATTATAAGTCCAAGTAAGGCTAAAAATAGCTCTATATTCATATTTGACGACGTGTCGTGTGACGGTCAGCAGAAAATTCGAGAGTATTACTCCATGTGTCGTCATAAAGATATCGATGCTGCATATCTCTGCCAAACATACTCTAAAATTCCAAAACAGCTCATACGAGACAACTGTAACATTATAGTACTATTTAAGCAGGATGAAATTAATCTAAAACATATATTTGATGAGCATGTATCTCCAGATGTTACTTTTGATGAATTCAAAAAGATGTGTTCGGAATGTTGGGCAGAAAAGTACGGTACGTTAGTTATTGTTAAAGACTTTCCTCTTAATTATGGTCGATACAGAGTAGGATTTGATAAGTACATAAAATTGTAGGCTTATCATGTACGCCATCATTCAGTAACATGATGTCAAAGGACCAAGTTGCCGTTGCTAGTCATAAAAGAAAGATCGCAGAACTTGCTCGAGCTATACGTAAAAAGTATCTTACTTTAAAGTTAGGTCGAACTGCAGAAGATGAATCTATTAGAAAACTTTTCAAACCAATATCTGAACCTCTTAAGCAAATAGCTAAGACTCAGCAGCATCCTTCATTTATTATTAAAAAAGAGGAAAAATTGAAACAGGATGATGATGATGATGATGATGTATTCACACAGAACCCAAACTATCTCAATTTAGAAGACGTGGCTTCAACTGATGAACAAGGTAATATACCGCCGAGACCTGAAACACCACCACACTACCTGAAGAAATGCGTCCTGCTGATTTTTCACAAGAAGCAATAGAAGAATACTTAGATCAATATCCCCCAATAAGCCATAATTATTTACAAGATTTTTGGACACAAAACGATAAAATTGATAAAAATTATGGACCTATATATACCGACAACATTGGTTGGATGTTAGGTAAACGCCGAATTAAATTTGATAGAGCGACTGGCCAAATACAGATATTACCTGAGGGGACAAACTTAGCAGGTACATGGTTTCGTGGCACACCTGGGCTGTATCAACTTTTATTCTATAATGACCCAAACTATGCAGATGCAGATTTACAACCCTATAAAAATCTATTGCAAAGTACCGGTGTTCATTTAGATTCGCTTGGACGCCTAAAAGGTTCGACAGGATTTAAATATAATCACATTATTAAGCCTCTCTTTAAAGATGTGCAGAAAAATAAAGGTACAATTGTCACACGATCAACATCTACAAAAATACGTAGTCCACTTAGTCGATCATTAACAAGATCCACTCCCTCAACAACAACAACAACAACAACAACAACATCATCAACATCAAAACCGCCAACAGGAAAAGGTATCGGTGATTACTTGACATACAACGAGGAACCAATCGAATACGTGTACTGGGATGATCCCAATGAATTAATCGATCGACTTAAACTCCTTATGGCATCTCAGGAAGCTGGCAATACGTCGCATGATAATGAAATAGTAGCCATCCTCAACGAGCTAAAAGAAGCTAATATAATACAGTAATCTAGTTCCTTGGTCTTTCATTTACACGATGAGTCTTGATAAATTCGGACGTCGCTTTGATAAACAAAAGACACTTCCGTATATGCGTACACCGCCAAAGTTAACACTACCCCATACTTCTGATGGAAATGTTGACTTCAAGAACGTAAAGTTGTGTAATATAAAAGATCCCACAGATAATTCAGATGCGGCAACTAAAAAATACGTAGATACTTCAGTGATTGATTTAAAAAAAATAACAGCAAAAACAGATCAAATAACAGAGTTTATTTCGAGAAATCCGCCTACTTCTGGTAAACATATGGCAACAAAAAAATATGTAGATGACTCTATTGCAAATATAACAACAAGAATAGAACAGGAGTTGGCTACAATTAAGTCTCATACCGATTTGACTCCAATAAGGAAAAATATCATTGAATGAATTACAACTTTTGCAAGGACGCACATCATATATATCATTGAAAACATTCGATCTTGCTAAGCGTATAAAGCCGATGGAACAACAATTTAAAGCGTTAAAACATGATGACGTACGCCAAGGAGAAGCTACAACTAGTTAACGAGCTGCACAAGCCTGCTCGAAAAAATTATCTAAGACGACGTACCATCATTAAAGGCTTAGACGATTTATGGCAGACGGACTTGGCTGAAATGCGACCTTATGCTCATCAAAATAAAAATTTCAAATTAATTCTCGTCGTAATCGATTCTTTTTCCAAGTTTATGTGGACTAGACCGTTAAAGACAAAGACGGGTGAGGAGATAACTCGTGCGTTTTCGGATATCCTCGCACATACGGAACGTACGCCGAAAAATCTACAATCTGATCAAGGTAAAGAATTTTACAATAGTAAATTTCAAACTTTAATGAAGAAGCATGATATTAATCATTATAGTACATATAGCATCAAGAAAGCGGCCATTGCTGAAAGAGCCATAAGGACGTTGAAAAATAAACTTTACAAATACTTTAGCTTAATGGGATCGTATAAATGGATTGATATATTACAAAGCATTACCAATGAATACAATGGAACACGTCATCAAACCATCGGATGTAAACCATCACAAATTAATAAATCCAACGAAAAATGTATCTTAAATCGAAAATATACTCATTTAAAAATCGCGGGCCCGCGTAAGTTTAAAGTTGGTGACATTGTACGCATCAGCAAAACCAAAATGCT